AGCGATATTTTAGCACGGCGTGATGATTGGAGCCCCGACCGGGTGAAGACGCGCTGTGACAGTGTAGCATGCATTTTGAGTGGCCAATGCTAGCAGTGATCACAGTGAAGAACGATCATCTTCATGCACGTTTGGTCACCTCCAGAGCGAATGAAATCGCTTAGACTCGAGGCCCGGCGCCAACAGTTGACCAACCATGGCCGGTGTTGAAGCGCCGTGAAAATAGGTGTACGGAGTACTTGTACTTTGTCAAGTAAATGGGACCGAAGAGAATGCTTCATTTGGTGTGGAGGGGAAGTACACAGTACTTGTAGTCGACTATGTACGGAGTAGACGCCCGAGTCCGTACTCGCAGCGCATCAGTCCACTCACAGTGTTCCTCGTAGCAGTGGTTTAAGCTACTATTTGATTTCTCTGTTCTTTCTCCATTATGACGGTCTTTTCTTGCCTCTCATGCAATACTCTGTATTGATCGAGTTCACCTGAGGCCATCTACGTTCTTTGTTCTGTTCATCTCTCCAAGATCTATCCACGTGACTCCGACATACCGGATATGGCAAGATGCAGACAAGCAATGCAGCCTCAGCTCTTGATTTGGTGGTGGCCAATATCCGGAGTACTCCGTATATGATGAACACCCGTTCACTAGTACTCTGGCTGAATCTGAATCGACAGTAAATCGATCTCGATAAACCTACCCCGAGATCTGTTTCGCCATCAATACTCTTGACTATCCGGAGTACGCCGAATGAGTTGTCGGAGGCTTTTGTATCAGACGATTCTGAGAAAACACGTGATGGGGGGTCCCTTTTCCGGCTTGCATTTCCGCCAGCTCCGGCCCCAATAGCCAATCACAGACTGTAGCTACTGTCGATCGCTGTCGGCGCGCAAGCCAGAACGCGATCGCCCACCAATTATAAGTCATGTGCGCCACAACTGCAGGGCTAATTGGTGGAATTCAGCAAGCACAGCCTCACTCAATACCGTGTTACGAGCATACAGGATTGTGTGACAAATTGAACTCTGCCCATTACTTGCAGTGTTTTGTATCTGAAGAGTGATACACTATTAGGATACAGAGGTACTCCGTACTCCGTACTGTACTCTGTACAGAATGTAGAATTGGCGGTGCAAGGCTGGTGGTTCTTTTTTTGGAGTGTCTGACTCATCAGAAACCTTAACCATCAAACCGGTTCTACAAGTATGAGACTTGGATAGTTGCATATTTCCTATCCATTACCCCTGTACAGAGTACAGGGTAGATGCTTTGAACCTGGCATCGGGGAATAAACATCAGTACAGAGTACAGGACTAGCTGTATGCCAGTGTCATTCTGTATCCTTGCATATCCCGTAACTTTGACGGAGTATATACAAGGTATGGTCAACAGCAGGATTGTCTGCGCCTCTCAGTTCCTGGTCACGTATCCACTGTAATGGCGTTACCAAACCCACTGTAGCCGCGCAGAGCCGCCTGTCAGCGCGTAATATTACCACCAGCCACCATCCTGTCTCTTGTTAGTATTCTTTATTTCATGCTCCATATATTCTCTCCGTATTCTCTGTGAAGAGAAGGTCCCAATTAGTCGACAGGCACATGAACAGCAGATCGTGCTGCTGGTGTATGGTTGGCATTGTCGGGGTCTTCATCTGCATCTTTGTCAGCCTCGTTTCTTAATACTCTCTTCCCTCTTTTCTCTTTTCTTCTCTCTCATCTTTCAATTGTTATCAACCTTCCCCAAAATAGTGCTGGATCTTCTTTTCTCCACCACAGCCTCATCCGCCACGGTTTCAACGCATCTTCCACTTGATGGCCCGTTGGAGTTTAACCTAACAACCACCAATTCCTCTGCTGCTGCTGCTGCTGCTGCTGCTGCTGCTGTTGTTGTTACTATTGTTTTCCTTTCCTGACTCGCCATTTCTTCAGCAGCAGCCACTGAACTTAACAAGGCTGACCGCTATTTCTATTCCTTCATCTTTCTTCACCTGCGCCTCATCTCCTGGCGTCTCTTGGTCGTTCGTTAATATCGAAGTACGCCTCAGAGAGCTGAACTCCTTCCCTCCACTTTCGGATACCTTCACGCTTTCTCTCGCTCGATCTCGCGCGATCTGCCATCCTCTGATCTCTCCTTTCTTACATTACTTTTTTTTTTTTTTTTTTCTTTTTCTTTTTTCTTTTTGCGCCACACTCGGTTCCAGGTGAGCGCCCCACGCGAACTGTGCCCTGCTCTTACTCGTCCGTCTCGCTGTGTTTTGCGTTTGGATTCCTTCTCCAGCCAATGGCCCCCCTCCGGTTGCTGTGAGATGAGAACATGAGGGCCAAAAAAAAAAAAAAAAAAAAAAAAAAAAAAAAAAAAAAAAAAAAAACCTTCTTATATCTCACTGGCGTCCACCTTTGGGGGCTAAGCATGGCTTCTTCTTTCCTTGATTCAATTCCTCCTGATTCCACGGCTATTTCTACTGCCTCTGTCACTGGTCGACTAACATGACTACCAAAATAGCTCCTCCCCTGTGTTTCCGCTCTCCATCGCTGCCTGGTGGACATCACCACCCATTATCCATGGCGGCTTTGATGCAATCGAATAACGAACCGGTCGCGATATCTAACCCTCTGTCCGGTCCTTCTAACACCATCATCTCCAGTCCTCAGGACTCCGTCACGCTTCTCAAACAACCCCCCAAGCCCGAGTCGAACCTGAGCTCCATTGCCAGCGCCGGTCTACACGTCTCCCGGTCGAGAGACCAACCTTCGTCGACCTTCAATATGGCAACCGCGACAACACCTACCATGGAACATCGAGAACAGCAGGACAAGGGGCCGGAACAGAATAGCTCCCAGGTTGCGCGAGAGGCCCTGGGTGCCAGTGAGAAATCCCACTCGATCAATGATTCCATGCCTATGCCCTCCGATCATATGCAAGTCGATTCGCATACAGCGCCCAATGATGCGTACGGGTCATCCACCGATAACAATACGTCCTCCCTCCTGAATGCCCCAACTACAGTGGCCAGCCCCGGGCCCATGGAGGACTCGGCCTCACAGGATGGGGACCGCCCTCGTCATCGAGATGAAGCAGGAATCATCGAAGAAGCGAGCAACAAGGCCTTCTCCTACCCCATGCCTACCGGTAATTTCAGTGATTCTCGTCGCGGGCTCAGCCTGCCAAACTCGGGCTTCAACCGGGGTCAGCGCTCCCCAGGAGCCAAGAAACATCGTTGTCCTTACTGCTCCACCGAATTCACCCGGCATCATAACCTCAAGAGCCACCTGCTCACGCACAGCCAGGAAAAACCTTACGTCTGTCAAACCTGTCAGTCTCGCTTCCGGCGACTCCACGATCTGAAGCGACACACTAAACTCCATACTGGAGAGAGGCCGCATATTTGTCCGAAATGTGGACGTCGGTTTGCTCGAGGGGATGCGCTTGCGCGCCACAACAAGGGCCAAGGTGGCTGTGCCGGTCGACGGTCGAGTATGGGAAGTTTTGCTCCTGATGAAGAATATGGCGATGGAGCCGCTCATGGTTCTGCCGAAGACACTATGGAGGGACTCGTGTATGCAGAACCGGAGCGCATGGACGAGGAGGAAGAGCGGCGGCTCATGCCCAGTATCCGACGACATGACGCTTCGATCGACTCTGCATCGCGGTCCAACACGGGCACCTTCCAGTCACGCCAACCGAGCACATATCCCCCTATCGCAGCCGGGAGACCCTCTCCGGGAAGCCTCTTCCCCCCGCCAACTAGCCACGGTGGCGGGTCGAGCACCTCTCCTTCACCTATTTCCCAACCTGGCAACCTGACGTTCCCGCCGGCAGGGCAGCCCTCGGGAGCTTCGGTTTTCCAGCCTAACAACACTACACCCACCACTGCCAACAATAACATCACCGAGTCTCCCAAACCCCTCTCTCCTAACGCACTGTCTTCGCAAAACCAACCCAACCATGGTCCAGATGGGCATCACCGTGCTCACTCGCCCGGTGTGGCGCAGCAACCATTCCAGCAACAGCCTTTCAGCAGGCCACCTCCACAGACTACTGTTCCCACGACTCATGCTACTCCTAGCTTAGGGCTACCCCCTCCGCAACCAGGGGCCCCTCAACTTCCTCCTCCCCCAGGATTGAACGCGTCTGACTCGCGGTTTGCGCTTCACGGACCAGCGGCGACAGCAGCAAAGCACACTCCTTCGCATAGCCATTCCAGCAACCACAGCGGTGGTCTTCTGGCGACTGCCAAAGCAGGCCCGGAATCGTATCCCGACCCCAACACGGTGGATCCTAATCGAGAGGACAAGCTGTGGGCCTACATTCGGTCTGTTCAGGAGGAGGTGACGGGTTTGAGGACGGAAGTGGCTGCACTAAGAGCGCAACTTGCGGTATCAAATGGCAACCCTCAACTTCCTTTAACCGAAGCGAACCATGTCAACGCAGGTCCGCGGTGATGAACTACAGTTTGTAGTAATAAAGATGTCTAAATCTGGCCGTGGTCAGAGGTCATCAGGTCACGGAGAGGAACTGCGTTGGCCTATCTAATAATACCCTTCCTTTCAGTTCTCTTGAACTCATTCTCCACTTTACATTGATTGGCGCATTTCACTTCTGTTTTGTATTTTGGCATGGTTTTTTTTTTTTTTTATGGCAGCTCCTTTCCCACTCCTTTATTTTTTTCTTCTTATCTTCCTCGATCAGTCATTTTATTCCTTTCTTTTGTTGTATATCTTTTGTTCCGGATTCTTGTGTCATATATAGCAACGACCAACGGTCACATTCACGCCGTGTACTCATTTCTTTCCCTATCTTACTTTTAGCTTCTTCTCTTCTTTCGTGTCGCTTTTACTTATTGTTTTGTATGTTATGGCATTCTAAGATTCCTGGTTCTGGCTTAGAGCAGGGAGTATGGAGTGGAATGGAATTCTTAACTCGATACATGATACACTTTATTCGGGATCCTTCTCATTATAGTATTAGTACATGTCTAACAGTGGTATATATACATCTCAAATTATAAACAACGCATCCCCGGCCCAACACTCCCCGTCTCAAAAATCTCCACCAACCCAGCTCCAACCGCCTCCTCAAGCACCCACCGAAACCCCATCCCATACAACTCCTTCCACTTCCTCGTCCGCCCCGGCAGAATCCCCGCAAACTCGCCCCTCGCGCGCTTCGCGGCATGGAAACTCTTGTCCGTTTCCACGGCGCCGTCCCAGCGGTCGCGGAGGAGGTAGAGGGGTGCTTCGCGGTGGGTGGATTTCTTCAGGAGGGTGAGGAGGTGGGCGCGGCTGGTGCTGAGGAGGCGGAGGTAGGGGCCTGTGTTGGGGAGGGAGAGGAAGAGGGTTGCTGTGTGGAAGCGGTTTCTTTCACCATTATTGGGGATGGTATGATCTGGGTTTTGGGTGTCGGCTCGACTGGCGGGTGTGAAGGTGGAGGATGGGGGGAGGTCTGGGAGGGATGCTACGCTCAAGGAGCCTTTGGCTAAGGATGATGAGGAGACGAGGAATCCGGCGCGGACTAATGATTGGTATTCGTTCGGGGTGAAGACGCCGGGGGCGATGGCGGAGGATGTACCGATGCGGTTGAGGACGGTGAGGAATTTCTCTACGGTACTAGTTAGCAATGCGATCACAACCAGAAAGGGCATGTGGCTATGAGAAGACCCTTAAAATCCTCCTCCAGACTGCTACTCCTAACCAACCCCTCCCACTCCTCCCTAAGCACAAGACAATCCCCCAACCCCGCTGCATCATTGCCCCGCCCAGGAACGATCAACCTCCGCACCCTCCCCGTCGTCACCAACTCCATGATCTCCCGCTCCGTCCTCGTCGGCGCATCAAGCAACGTATGCACATGCGCCACAGAAACCAGCGGCGGCAGCGAGCGTCTGAAATTTAACACCTCCGCAATACGGGTGCTGTTCATCCCCGTGCGGGTTGCGGGGAGATCTTCGAACATTGTGCTGCGGATGTGGTGGATGGCTTCGAGGACGGTTGTCGCGGGGGTTGTGGAGGGGATGTGTTGGGAGAGGCCTAGGTCGGGGAGGTCGAAGTCTTCATCTTCGATGGTGGAGGCATCTTTGGAGCGGGGTTTCTTGCGCGGATGAGCGGCGAAGGGGGAGGAGCGTGCGCGGGTGGTTGTGGACTTGCGTTTCTTGATTCCCGAGACGGGGGCTGAGGTGAGTCGCAATGGCATGCCTATACACACAATATGATTACACCGTAGTCGATGGCAAAGTATAGAAGTAGAAGTGGTCGGACTCGTCGCAAGGGGATTTTCGCGATAAGGCGATAAGCCGATATGGCACGTGATGTAGAATAACACCAACCAATCACACACATTCATGCGAACATCCTCACATGAGTCGTACTCGCGCGTCTCAAGCGTCAGATTAACAACTCTTGTTTGTGTCCTGTACTTGTAGCAGATAAGACAATCGACCCATTGTCGGACCATCCATTGCAGAAACAGGGCATTGTGCATTCTTCTGGTTCTGACCAAGTTCTCCGGTAGAGCTCATGACGTAACAATCGCGTCCTGCTATCTCTATTTCAGCTCCAGTTCGGTTCTTTGCGGTTGACATTCGAGAGTTTGTGGTGGTTGTGTCTCTTTCTATCTGTTATATTCTGCATATTGCTGTGTCTACTTTGTATATTGCGACTTGAGGTATCTCTTCTGCATCGTCTTTTTCTTTCTTTCTCATTTTTGACACCCCGCAGTGGGTTTACGGCTAAATCGGGCATCATGACTATCTTCATTGCTTCATTGTACGTTGACTCTAGATCTATATATCGTTGATGACAACTACTGATGACGCAGATTCCTACCATATACCATCAACTTCCATGTTAACAAATCGCGAAGCCGCCGTCCCTCCCGAGTCCCGAGCCCCCTCCCACCAAAAACAACACCCGAAGACATCCCACCAGCAACCACCAGTGCCCCCCTCAGCTTATTCGACCAGCAGCATGGCGCCAAGAAGGTCGGGTTAACCCCGGGGGCTACGACGGAGCACGAGCGCATCTTCTCCTCGGATCCCAACAAGGCGGAACAAAAGCAGCAGGAATATCCGTTCCCCGGGTCGGCGAATGAAAAGGATACCTTGACTGGGAGTGAAGCGCACTCGCCCGCATGGGGTGCGACGACGTCGCTAAACCAGCCTCGACCTCAGGCGGCGTTTGCGGCGAGTCCGTCGATTCTTAAACATCAGGATACCCTTCTGCCGGTGATCGGGGAGCAAGAGCCATCAAAGGCCAAGGAACACCCAGTTTATACCACGCGAGCCGCGAATGGACGGGCAGAGTCGTTTTCCAGGGCTGAATGGACAATAGAGACCGCTGAGCAAGGGAATGGAGGTCTGCGGAACGCCGTCCGGTCCGCCACCGACGCGGGGCAGCTGGAAGATAAGATCTGGGTTGGAACGCTGGGAATGCCGACAGATGCGTTGGTGCAGCAGACCAAGTCGACGATTGCGCAGACGTTGGAGAAGGAGCAAGGGTCGCTGACGGTGTTTGTTAGCGATGCCGATTTCGACGGGCACTATACGCATTTCTGCAAAACGATTCTGTGGCCCGTGTTTCACTACCAGATTCCGGATAACCCCAAGAGCAAGGCCTACGAGGACCACTCGTGGATTTATTATGTCAAGATTAACCAGGCCTTTGCGGAGCGGATCGCGCGGAACTGGAAGAAGGGGGATTCGATCTGGATCCAGGATTACCATTTGCTGTTAGTCCCGGCTATGCTGCGCAAGTTGTTACCGGATGCGCCGATTGGCTTCTTTTTGCATATCGCCTTCCCGTCCTCGGAAGTGTTCCGGTGTTTAGCTCCTCGGAAAGAGCTTCTTGAGGGCATGCTGGGAGCGAATCTGATCGGTTTCCAGACCGATGAGTATTGTCGACACTTCCTCCAGACGTGCAGTCGGATACTATCCGTGGAAGCCACCAACGAGGGTCTACAAATGGAAGATCGCTTTGTCAACGTATCCACCTTCCCTATTGGAATTGATCCGACATCCTGGGACAAACGACGTCAAGCGGGGGATGTTGAGCAGTGGATCAGGACGATCTCTGAAAGGTACCAGGGTAAGCGGCTGATTGTGTCGAGGGACAAGATCGATCAAGTACGAGGGATTCGGCAGAAGCTGTTGAGTTATGAGTTGTTCCTCAACTCTTATCCTGAATGGAGAGATCAGGTATGTTTAGCCTTTTGTATAGGGAAGGGTATGGCTAACAATGATAGGTGGTTTTGGTCCAAGTGGCAACGAGTACCACGGAACAGCCCGAGCTAGAAGCCATGGTTTCCGACATTGCGATGCGGATTAATTCTACACATTCTACGTTGGCGCACCAGCCTCTGGTCTTCCTCAAACAGGACCTCGCGTTCCCCCAATATCTGGCTCTGATCTCTGTGGCGGATGCTCTGATGATCACCAGTCTCCGCGAGGGAATGAACCTGACCAGCCATGAGTTTGTCTACTGTCAGGACGGGAAGTACCAGGGGTACGGAAACAAGAAATACGGGTCCTTGATTCTCAGTGAATTCACCGGAAGTGCCTCTGTATTTGGCAACCACGCGCTGCTAGTCAACCCATGGGACTACCGACAATGCGCGGAGGCGATTCGCGAGGCACTATCACGCGGCGAGGAAGAACGCCAGCAGGTCTGGACGGAACTTCACCAGGCCGTGCTGAAAAATTCGACGGCCAACTGGGTGAAGTCGTTCAGTGAGACATTAGCCCGGGTATGGCACGAGCAATCGTCGCGGGAGATTATATCTGTGCCACGTCTGCCGATGGACCAGCTGGAGGAACGGTATCAAAGAGCCCCGCGTCGACTGTTTATCGTTGACTACGAGGGTACACTTGCTTCGTGGGGTTCACCGAAGAGCATCATCGTCACGACGCCGCAGCGGGCTATCACCACCCTGACCGAACTAACAGAAGACCCCCGGAACATAGTATACGTAATGAGTGCACGTATGCCAGAAGAAATGGAGCGGCTATTCAGTCGAGTCCCTGACGTGGGCTTGATCGCAGAGAACGGCTGTTTCGTGCGCGAGCCACATCAGGAAGAATGGCTTAAACTCACAAACCAAGAACGCACCACAGCATGGAAAGACGGTGTCAGCCACATCCTAGCGTACTACCAGGAACGGGCAGACGGAAGCTGGATCGAGCGCCGACACTGCTCACTCGTCTTCCACCACAGCTCAGCAGAGGACCAGCACGCAGCCGCACGACTGGCCTCCGAATGCGCAGGACACATCAACGACGCCTGCGCCAATCAGGGTATCCACGCTCTTCTCGTCGACGGAGCACTAGTCGTGGAACCGGCGGGTACGAACAAGGCATCTGCAGCGGAAGCAGCATGGCAAGATATTGTCCGTGCGGCAGCGGCAGATGAAGGCAAAGAAAGGCCCAGTTTCCTACTCGTCATCGGAGATGGACGCGATGACGAGTGCGTGTTCAGGTGGGCAAACAAGCTGGAGCAGAAGGGAGGAATTGAGTATGCCATGACGGTGACGCTGGGGTCACGGAGTACGGAGGCTAAGGCGGCCTTGACGCAGGGTGTTACTAGTGAGTTTTCTTCATGTTCTATGTCTACACTATGGAAAGACGTGGCTAACAGGTATAGGTGTGCTTTCTTGTCTAGAGCGATTGGCGGTGCCGAATCCGTGAATGATGGATATATGATGTGGATATATGGAGCATAGTATAAGACTGGACATAAAAGTGATATATGATGTGAATAGCATAGAATGTAATGGATCTAGGAGTCAGTTTGATTGTCACATATTCAACATATTTGAGTAAATGGTACCAGGCCTTGAATTAAACACTGGACCTGATTCTTTCTCCCCTGTCTATATCTTTCCCATTTCTCCATTCTAGTCCCTTTTCAATCATCTAGCTTTGTGGTTCCCCTTATGATGCACTTCGCCGGCTTCGTGGTGATCAGTCAAAATGGCGACTATCAACAAATTAGGGTATAATCAAAGCTTCAGTTACACGATGCCGACACGACGACATTGGTAATATGAACATAGTCTTTCTACTCTTCACTGGGACCAATTGTTCTGACCTTGTAGTCAGTACTGTCCCCATTCCGTTCTCACATGTCCGCTGATACTAAGCTACATTTCCAGAGAAAATCCTATGGTCAGCTAGGGCACTACAATAGTCTCCCCTACGATCTAGCAGCAGCCACCTACCAAGCCATTGCAGGACATATAAAATGGGCACCATCGCAAAGTAAAACCTCGAAGGGTCCTTCTCAAACAACGAGTCCTTAAGAGAAGAAAACATTATTGAATTTCTTCAAAGGGGGGGCCGCATTTCATGAGGCCAGTGAGTCTCTTGTCCATTGAAGGGATCACCCTCACATCATTTCGTCCCTTGAAGTGCTTTTAATCCAAGCCTGATGATTTCAATGTGAGATATGATTTTGACATCTCTAGCTCATTTGGAATAGGGAGATCCCCAGCATTGATATAACCGGCACCGATGAGTTAAAATGATATTAGTGACCTGGGATGTGACACTTCACTTCTACTCATCCATTACACTGGACAATTGCTCCTCTCTGGGTGCTATATCGCCAGAGCCGATCTTATAGGTTAGACAGCTGGATGCTGAGTATCCAACCGCATCCAAAGACCATGAATCTGATGCACCTCATACTATGAACTACATACAACGAACAGGCTCGTCGCAATTATCATCTGCAGCCAATGAAGGAGCTCCTTTGTTTTTCAACGGCTGTTGCAGTGGAAGTGCCACGAGAGGTTCTTGCAAGTCAGAGTTGTCGAAGTAATTTACATAACAGATAACAGACGCTCAGGCATCTGATAACCGTTAAAAAACGGAGAGTGCTGAAGGGAAGAACAATGTCGACGCGGTTTGGCACATCGTTACATCATACTATCTTACGGAATATGGGCCGTTGGCAAATAGTATGTTTCTCCTGTTCTCTCCAGTCAACCTGCGGATACAGCTAATACTAATGCTTCTATCCGGAAAAGTTAAATCAACATAGGTTGAAATATACACCGTCCAAATGAGAACAGAGAAGTATCGCTTCGATGCTTGATGGGGATGGAAGAAGCCCTAGTGGCGCTTTGGGTAGTCCCTACTTTGACCTAGAACCAGCAATAACACTGAGAGATCGCTGCTACTAGCTCAGTACGTCGACACGGCTTAATCGGCTCCTTGGGCAACAATTCACATTCCGTTTAACTCCATTCTAATCGTCAAGAAGCACGAAGTCGACACTCCCCACTTTCAAAGCCCCCTACAGCTGAATTAGCCAACGGATCGAAACCAAGTACAAGGTACAAACCATTGGTTTTTGCAGACGTGCCATCTTTAATTCAACAAGTTGCATCTCTCAGACAGGATTACCATTGATGAGGCCCAGAATTACATATATACAATTGTACGCATTGTGATACGCTCGAGGATGCACGAGCGATTGTTGCTTATGCGAGGAACGGTTGGGATGATGAAGGCGTATTTCGCGAAACAATATGGGGTCAAGCACACCACAAGATCACTTCTATCCCCCTCCCATGTTGACCTTGTATAACCAGTTGGTTAGCGGCATGGTTAGCCAATACTAATGTTAACCCCTGCACTGGTGTCCAGGTGATTCTTGATTAGCTAGCAAAATACATGTCCAAATCAGAATTCTACTGTGACCTCATGCGCTGCATTCTTCTTCATGTGAACTCTTGCAACCCAGTTTTATCTGTGGTAACAAAGCTAATGAATCAGCTTGTGGGGGAATGTGACTGGTCTGCTATGGAAGTGTATCACCTTCTTAATATCACCCTCCGTAGAGTGCTATGAACCAATGAGCATAATTGTACACAAAGCGAGTATTGCCAGGCAGAAAATTGGAAGCCTAAGGCGAGGTAATTCAATTGTGATGTTGCCTGCCAATCTTCAATCATCTCCAGCACCTTGCAAATCTATCTTATAGTACTTTTAATTACTTTCAAACGCCAACAATGACTACATTAACCAAGGACGAGTTTACCAAAACACTCAAAAAAAAAAAAAAAAAAAAAAGAGCTTAGCCACCAGCCCCGGTTTTATTCAAAGCTCGATGGCCTTTCTTTCCGATACGAACCAGACGGATTCAGCTCAGGAGCCGAATACAAGAACTTCCAGGACATTCTCAAGGCACTGGAGAGCACTAAATCCCCCGATCTCTTTCAAATCAAACAAGGTAGCCGGTACCCACTATGAAACGTCTCGCAGGAGCTTTATAAGAAAATCAGGGCCCTGGTCAGTATTGAAGGGAGGTCGCTGCTACGCGTCTACTATTCCGGCCACAGTTGGTTGGGAGAAAAGAATGAACTCATGCTGGGCCCCGAGACCCAAGTCAAACCCATCTGCTGGAGTCGATTCGTTTGGGAGATAACTGATCCTCTTTACTTAGAAGGGTATGATCCTATTGGCATCCTTGTGCTTCTCGATTCCTGTTATAGCTGTCTAGCCACCCGTGCACAGCCTGCTGAGCGGGTGGTTGAAGTGGTAGCGGCGGTTAAGGCAAAGAGTACTTACTGCGCTTGGAGAAGATACAGCTTAATACGAGACTTTCTCCTCTAAACTGGCCAATTACCTCGTCAGATGCAAAGAACATGGTCCGATTTCGATTGACTTTGCCGCAGCTATCGTAGCCATCTCAGCCGAATCTCCGAGCAGAAAGCCCACGCACGAGATCATATTTAGAAATACTTCAATTAGCGCCCAACTTAGTTCTCTGCCGCAAGACAGAACTGCTTCATCTCCTTCACAAGCCGTACTACAGCACTATGCAGTTGTTCAGGTCCATCTGGCGGATGTATTTAATGATGAAAATTACCAGAAGCTTTCCAAATGGACCAGGCAGCTTGACCCCGATCATCCGATCACCGTTGAAAGGGCCTATGAGTCTGATGGTTCAACACTTCTCATCTTGACGATGCCGTACAATGTCTTTTTGAGAACGGGACTCGGGGAGAGATATCTCATTGGATTGGTTCAAGGCTGCGTCGTGGACAGATCAAAGTGTCAACATTGGCTGTCTATACTGTTTCTTCTCCGTAGCTCCTGTTCGATGCTGAGAAAGTCAATGTTGGAATAATATCAGATCTTTACCATATTACACACATAGTAGGTCCATACTTCTGCTCATCGTCAGACCGTTTGCTTGCGTCTTTGGTAGGGTAGATTAGTCACTTTTCATGGACCGAATGTACGCCGAGCCGAGGCTGTTTGAAGCCGACGATTAGAATAACTCCGGACCGCGATAAGGATTGATTTAAAGACAATATCCGGGCGAAGTAGCTTCCTACTTTCTTCTTCTCTCCTTCTTGCTTCCCATTACACTGCTTGATTCTAGGCAAAGCATAATGCCACAAAACGCAGCCTTCGAGCAGGCGATCAAAGTCACACCGCTAGGATCGCATCGCTACTCGGCAGTCTTACAGGATGACTGGTGTATAGGAACAGGTACATCCCTGTTCTTCATACATTCAATCAAGTAAACCTGCTAATAAGCTACAGTCCCCCACGGCGGCTACACAACCGCGCTCCTCTACCGCCTCGCCACAACCCATTTCGCGCATACCCATCCAACTCACTACAAAGACACTGCAACTCCGATCTCCATCCAACTCGCCTTCCTCCGTCGTACGTCTACGGGTCCGGCTACACTGACTGTCGAGGACAGCAAGCTGGGCGCGCGCACGAGTACCATCCACATTACCTTGCAACAACCGAGTGAGAAGACTGGGAAGGATGAGGTCAAGGTCACGGGATATATCACCGTGAGCCCCGCGAGTGTGGAAGTGGGAATCAGCGCAAGGACGAATTGGGAGTTGTACCCAGCTGCACCAGAAGTTGATCTCGATGTTCTTGGGAAGACGGGGGAGTGCGGGATTTGGAAACGGTTCAGGCCCCCGTTTACAGAGTTCCGGAAGGCATCGAGGCACTTGGAGTTGCATTATCCTGAGGAGTCCAAGACTGAGGGTGGAAAACCGGGTGTGGTGGATCAATTGGCGCGGTTCCGTCCTGGTGGTGACAGTCAGGGTCGTTGGACGAATGAAGCCCTGGTGTACCTGGTAGATATGTTCCCCAAGGCGTTGGAACGGTTCGACCAGACGGCGTCTTCGGAGACTCCGGGCATCGCGGGCAAGTCGTGGTATCCGACGGTGACGCTGAATATTGATTTGAAGAAGCGGTTACCGGCCGAGGGTGTGGAGTGGCTGTATAGCAGGGTGAGCAACAAGGTGATGCGCGATGGACGGATGGATATCGAGGTGGTTGCTATGGATGCGTCAGGGGAGGTGGTGGCTGTCGCGACGCAGGTGGGACTGGTGATGAGTGCGAGCCGGAACGTTGGACGGAGGCAGAAGCTATAAGCATATAATAAATCTATAGAATGTGTATAGTACAGAGTATATACATAGTGCACAGTACATAATATCATAGATTAGACTTGGTCTGCAACCAAAACGCCATGGCATCCGTAGTAACGACCTTCCTCTTCGGCCATTCCAGATGCATCTGCTTCGGATCCTCGACCTTCTCTTCCTGTACAATCTGCGCGCGCACCCAGTACTTCCTCCCCTGCCTCGCAACAACTTTGGCCCTAACCATGGCCACCGTAGGCACCAGCAACGGCCTCTTATACCTCACATCCAACTGCGCCGTATAAATCTTCCCCCTTGGATTATCCGTAATCGAATCACCCCCCGAATGCGTCGCAACCGCCAACGACATAGCCTCATCCAACAACGTCGCCACAACACCCCCATGCACCGTCTCCGGATGCCCACAGATCCCCGGCGCACTCAAATCCACCAACACAATCACATCCGGCGGAGAAACGGCGGGCGCGGAGGACGGCGTCGCAGTGGGCGCGGGCCAGACGGGTGCTTCGGTCGGGGGCGTTGAGAGCGCGCGACGGCGGAGCGTTAGGACATGAGGGATTGTGGTTGGTGTTGCTAGAGTTGATGCGAAGTAGTGGTCTTCGCCGGAGGATTTGGGGTTGCGCGAGTCGGTGGGGATCGCGGTGTAGTCGTTTGTGGTGAGGGTGGTGTTGAGGAGGGAGGCGATCCAGTTGTTTTGGAGGGAGTGGAAGTGGGAGAGGGAGGAGGGGAGGGGGTCGGACATTTTATGTGTGCCCCTTATTGGATAGTTATTGATAGGGAGTGGTATGTACTTGTGTAAAGTATGGTACAGAGTATATGGAGGATGTGATATGACTGTTGGTGATATTCTGCGGATCTACAAGACTACCTCGGTTCGGTTCGGCAGGAACTGCAGGGTCTTTTTCGATATTATCGTTTATCGTATATTTACTCCGCAGAGTAATATAAAACTTAACTGTATAATGGTACCATGCACTCCGTACCATATCCGGAAAATAGACAGCTGCAGAGGTATGGAAACGCAAGGGTTGGAATGTGCTCGCTATGCTACAGGGTCTATCCGTGATCGTCTCTATACAGAGGTATACAGAGTAGCATCGTATATCGTATATCGTACACCATAGACTTAGATAAGTGAAACGCAAAGCGTATGAGATAGCAGTGGCGACTCTTCAGTGGACTAGCAAGAGCTAACAGGGTCTAACTTCACCGGAAAATTGCAAAAGTCACCGGCGCCTCCCAAAAATGGGAATTCGCTCCTTCCTCGCGCTGTTTGAATCCGGCATTCCTTGTTTTGCCGCCTATTTTTAATCTCTTTCTTCTTTTTTCCCCTCCTGCCATTCTTCTTCTTTTCTTTCTTCAACTCTGAATCGGTTCTTCAATTCTATATTCTATTTTCTATCCGTTGCTATTCTGCAGAGCATTACTGTATATACTACAGATACTACGACAATGCTCCCTCTGACCGTCCTCCTCTCTCTGGTCGCGGCCTCTGCTGCCCAGAACTACTCCTTCCCCAAAGGCTTTGACGTCGAAAGTGTCGAACTGGCTACTCGCTGTACGTCTTTTCTACTCCAGGTGTATGGGTTGTACTGACGATCGCAGCGTCCTGGTGTACTGCTCAGCGCAGCACCTGTCCTAAGATCTGCAATGGCAAGACCGACGAGAACAGCTGCGAGCCGGTATGTAGCACCCGGAGACTACTGAGAGTGACTGAAACTAACCAGCAAAGGGATCTCTCACCTTCTCCTGCAAATGTGATAACGGAACCGCCGACGTCGAGCCCTATGAGCTGACCGTTCCCTTCTTCGTCTGCCAAGCCAACTTTGGCAACTGCATCGCCAGTCATCCCGACGACGCTGATGGCCAGGACCAGTGCAAGAAGGACAACAAGTGTGGTACTCTCAATGCCACTGAGATGGCCTCCAAGTCAGACTCGGAGTCGTCCTCATCTTCTTCGGAGTCGTCTTCGCCGTCCTCCAGCTCGACTGCCACTTTGACTAGCTCCCACCAATCGGACAACTCGGACTCGTCTGCGGCCAGCAGCTCTCCTTCGACCACGGCCAATGCGGCGGCAGCTCTACGTATGGCTCAGGAACACTCGACCAGTGTGTTTGCGACGGCGTTGTTGGTTGCTATGAGATTGGCTCTGTAATTTCGCACAAAGTACTCTGATTGTCTTTTGTTTCGTTCCGTCTCTGCTGTCAGTTTTGACTCATGTATATCCGCCATGGCCATTTTGTATGGTGATGGCAACTGCATATGCCTCGGACGCATGTCTGTCCTTAAAATAGCGCGCATGCTTTAATCATAATTTTAATCACTCTTTAATGTGTTGAATCATGATAATTCTGTATGAGAGGAATGAATACAGAGTAGTACTGTACGTAGTAGCGTTGGTCGATCTCCGTCCATCGTTTTTGATATTCGGATGCCAAGACTTTTGCCCACAGTGAAATTTGCACTTTATCGATAGCCGCATCACCACTCGAATCTCACCTTATTCTTGCTCCTTTCCCTCTCTCTTTTTATTCCTCTGTGATATATTGAGTATATCAGAATGCCCGCCCCTACTACTACCCTCCTCATCGAGGGCAGCTTCTCCGAACTCGTCGAGGAGTTCGCCCAGTACCTCGACGCCCTGCGCAAGGAAGAATCGTCGTCCCTCCAGTCCGAAGTTGCCCCCCTCCTCGAGCCTATTCGCCAGCAGGAACAGAATGAACAGGAGCCGGATCTGAAGCAGCGCGATGAGCTTCTCAAGAAGCTGGTTGCTGCTGCAACCGTCTTGAACTCGGCCCCGGAGAAGGGTATGTTCACCAAAGAAGAACCAAGAGAACCAAAGGGAAAAAAAAAAAAAAAAAAAAAAAAAAAGAACGAAACTGACTGGACAGAAATCACTCCGGCCTACAACCTCCTCCTTCACCTCATTCACCAGGCCTCCGACCCGAGTGTCTTCCTCTCCCGCGTCTGCACCTACCTCGCCAAACCCATCACCAGCTCCCCTCAGTACGGCCCCTCGCTGGCCATCTCCATCCTCTCCACCGTGTTCAACACCCTCCCTCCCTCCGACGCCAGCCGGTACCACGTCCTGTTGGCCATTATTGCCGTCATCCGCCAGTCCAGCTCCATCTACACCTTCGAGGCCCTGAAGCCGCAATTGACCACCCAATTGCCCAAATGGCTGGCCGCCTGGGAACTCAACGAGGAGGACGTTCAGAAGCTGCACTTGGCCGTGGCCGAGACCGCCCAGGCCGCTGGTGACAGCGAACTCGCCCAGACCCACGTCCTTGAGGCCCTGCAGACCATCCCCGCCGACAAGGCTTCGTCCACGGAAGCCCGCGAACTGGCCATCCGCGCTCTTACCGCCGCCCTCAAGCAGCCGACCATCTTCGACTTTACTTCCCTGACTGCTTCGGACGCCGTGCAGGCCCTCCGCTCTAGCGACAGCACGCTCTTCGAACTGCTCGAGATCTTCACCTCGGACACGCTCGATGCCTACGACGCGTTCGTCTCCGCCTCCCCGCTCTCGTCCATCTCCGGTGGCGTGCTGGCTGATGCCGGCGACGCTCTGCAGGACAAGATGCGTCTGTTGACTCTTACCTCGCTCGCCGCGTCGACGCCCTCGCGCTCGCTCCCCTACGCCACCATCGCCGCCGCACTGCGCGTCCCTGCTGAGGACGTCGAGAAGTGGGTGATTGACACCATCCGCGCCGGTCTGGTCGAGGGTAAGCTGTCGCAGCTGCGACAGGAGTTCCTGGTCCACCGCGCGACCTACCGTGTGTTCGGTGAGAAGCAGTGGTCTGAGGTGCAGGGTCGGTTGATGGTCTGGCGGCGCAGCCTGGAGAGTGTCCTTGGAGTTATCCGTAACGAGCGGGAACGGTTTGTGCGTGAGAGCATGCAGCAGGCTGCTGCTGCGGCTGCCGCGGCTGATGGTGAAGGCAAGGGAGACAAGGGTGGAAAGAGACGGAATCAGCAGCCGGCACAGGCCCAGGCCCCTGTTGAGGCTGCTGAGTAGGTGATAGTGGAGGATACTACTAGAAAAGTGTAATGATTGGGATATCTTATTTGCACATGGTTTTAGTTCAATCTAGTTTATTTCTTTTGTTACCAAAATACGAGTTATGTTATAGACATATCTGAATTGGCAGTACGGACAAAATCCACTATGGTATGCTCGCTACAAAGTACGCTCGCATCTAGTCAACAGGGAACAACCCCTTGTTAGCAACCCCCTCCTTAACCCTCTGATAAACCTCATCCACACCCCCCGTCGCCTCCACAGAAACAACCTTATCCTGCTCCCCAAACGCTGTAACAACAGGCATACTCGTCTCCACAAAAACCCGGAACCTCTTCCGAATCGACTCGGCATTATCATCATCCCTCCCACTCGTCTCCCCGCGCTTCATCAACCTCTTCTCCATAACCCCCTCAGGACAGTTCAGGAATAGTGTCATCTCACTCGGACAAACCGTCTGCTCAAAAAACGCCGCCTGATCGAGTTTCCGCGGGAACCCATCAATCAAGAACCTAGCTTTCCCATCCTTTCCAGTCTTGGGCTTGTTGGCCAGTGCTTCGGCCATGGCGTTGGAGAGCAGCGCGACGGTGATCTCCATGGGCACGATCTTGCCATCTTTGATGTATGAGCGGATGAGGTCGCCGTACTGCGAGCCCTCGCGGACTTGTTCGGCGCGGAGCAGGTCGCCCGCGGACAGGTGGGTGAAGGCGTAGTCGCGGACAAGGTTGGTGGATTGGGTGCCTTTGCCGGAGCCGGGGCCGCCGAGGAGGAAGACGACTGTTATGTCTTGGGGGGAGAAGCGGGGTTGCTTTTGGTCGGACATGGTGGGTTTGTTGTTGTTGAGATGGGTTTGTTGGATAGGTGGTAAGTAGGATGGTGAGGTTACTGTTGCGCCCGCGATCTCACAAGGAACACGTAAGAACCGGAGCCGAGGCCGATGATGGCGAGGAACGGGAGGATTTTAAAGTTGGAGCGGTTTTGCGGACTGTATTGCGGATTCTTGCCCGAAGATGAGGAAGTGTTGGAAGAAGTAGAGGTGTTTGGAGAAGAAGAATAGGGGCGCCGGATGCAGTGGTGGGGTCGTAGTGTTGATCGAGCGGGAGCGACGAGGCGGGCAGAGAGAGACATGTGCAGCATAAGTATATAAGTAGAGATTGAATGGAGAATTGAGCAATTGAATAGAAATAGAACAGTAGGGAGAGGAGAAGTCTGAGAAGTCAGAACTGTTAGTAAACCGGGGAAAGAAAACTGTTCCGTAAATCGTCCCGGTTGGATATTGCCGTTTTGGGAATAGTGTGGTTGATGTTGCATGTACCTGTATAGACCAGATAGGGTTGATTAGAGATTATGGGCACAAAGGGCACATGAGTCTAGCAAATGGCTCTAATGACTCGATTATGTTTGTTTGGCCAAGTGCATGACAGTGAATGTCCTGCCATGCCCTTGTTTACATCTCTTTCTCCCTCTCTCTTTCCCTACACCCTCCATCATCCATCTTCTCAATTCTCATGAAATCTCACTAGATTGTTCCACAATCACCAATTTCAAACTAACCAAGCTTGAGCAATTTATCAATGCCACCCCAGACTCAGGATTCCCCGCGTGGTGCTCGCGGTGGACGCGGTGGACGCGCGCGCGGTCGAGGACGAGGACGTGGACGAGGTGGACATGGACGCGGCGGTAGTCAGGCGAATACCACGGTATGTTTTCTCTGTCTGTGTCTGTGTAACTGTACTGATTTATTAGAATCAGGAAAACACAACGACTGCGCCTGCACCCGCAGCTACAGCTACACCAGAAGAGAACCCTAACCAGAACCAGAGAGGACAGAGGGTATCTTTATCCCATGACCCTGCTTAATTTCTCATGCTGACACAAAAAGAACTGCAAAAATGGACGAAGATCTAGCAGGGGTCGAGGGAAAACCTCGCAGCCGCAGGCGATGATGGTGAGCCTTAGCACTCGTTACCAGTCCCAGCATACTAATGACAACAGCCGCAGTCAGAATCCAGACAAAACCAACAAGCCGGAGCAGCTCAGAAGGCCCCTACTGAAAAGAAAAAGAAGAACAGAAAGAAGAAAGCCGCACCAACACCCTCAGACGCGGCGAACCCTACCAAGGACAAAACACCCAACAAGAAAGAAAACAAACCAACTCCACCCCCCAAAAAGACCAAGCCATCCCTAACAACCCTCCCCGCCGAAATCCGCTGGAAAATCTACAATTACATCTTCCAACCAACCTACCGCGTCGCGATCACCCGCCAAAAACCCAAATGGACAACCTCTCCCACCGACACGCGAAAACGCCTCTACCACACCCGTCTTCCCTACCGTAACCCGAAAACGCAAATGAGCCCGCACGACTCGAAACATAGCCAAGTCGTTCGTCGACGGAATCCGCTCCCGATCTCGCTGATTTTCAGCTGCAAGGTCATCTACCGCGAGACGATATTGCATTTGTACGCGAATACGCAGTTTGTTTTCAATAGTACTCGCGCGCTGGATCGGTTCTTGCATACAACTAGTTCCCAGACACAGGAGGCTATTCAGCACATCGAGCTGAATCATATCATGTACAATGAGCCGCGGCTGCTGGGGTTTAGGGTGTTCAAGCACCGGTCTGATTTAGCATGGTACTGTGCGTGCGAGGATTTGGCAGTTGCGTGCAAGTCGTTGAGAGCGCTGCATATTAGCATGAAGATCTGGGACTGGCCGATACATCTAGAGCTCGGGGAGCGGTGGTCGTGGCCGTTGTTGGTGTTTGAGCGGTTTGGGAATAAGGTTGATTTTGCGAGCGTGACGCTTCAGATGTGTAAATTTGAAGAAGAGAGGTTAAAGGAGATGAGCAGGGAGGTGGAGAAGAGGCTTATGAGGAGTGAAGCGTGGCAGGTTCGCGAGGATGAGAGGATGGCGAGGGAGATTAATGGGAAGGTTAAGGCGAATAGGGTTTTGAGGGTTGTTTTTTAGTTGTTACTGTATGTTTACGAGTTTACATAGTTACCATGCATAGATAAGAGTACATATAGGTATTAATGAATTGGCTTTTCTATAACGGAATTATATACATGAATCATTATACACTCCACCTAAGTGGCAGGTTACTCCTCACCCTCGCCCTGCGAAGGAACCTCATGATATGCCAGCATACGTCTCCTTCGCAGATACCAAACAACCCCAACAACAAGACCAAGCCCAGACCCTGTTACCAAGATGAAAATCAACAATCCCCCAACACCCTTGATCATCTCGAATGCCCGGACCATTGCTTTGGCTGCTTTATCAGCCTCCAATACCTCGTCGTCCACCGGTTCCTCGACATCCGCTTCAGCAGCTTTCTGATGTCCGTACAGAATCGACGGGTCGGCTGCAATTGGCTTCGATTCACCCTGGAAGCCAGACAGCCGCCAGTTCTCCGGTGTAGCTGTGCGGTGGACATCCGATGTACCCAGGACGTTGCCATCCGCGTCGACGGCTTCCGCGGTGATGTAGTCGAGGTAGCCGTTGGCGACGTATAGCGTTTCAAAATCGGTCTTTGTGGTGTTTCCCACCAGCACAGGGATACCGTGTGCTTCTGACCGCGCGTAGAAATTCCACATCGCGATGTCCGTGGCCCCGTTCCAGCTGACGTAGAACATAGTCGTGAAGTCGTCTTCGCTGGTTCCATAGACTGAAGACAGCATGTCTGGTGGTGTGGACGGTCGTCCGATAAAGGGATACTTGTACGAGCGGTAACTGGAGAAGCGAGTTGAGGCGAAGCTAGCCTGCATGAGCGTCTTGCCCTCCGGGGAGTGCTCGCTCATGTACCCGCGTTCACTCCAGCCGACAAAGACGTTGTCGTTGGGGAGATGTTGGACGCTACCGCGGAGACGGGTGAGACTACCGTCGGGACGGTTGTGGCGGCGGATTTCGCGTGCGTTAATGGGTGTTGTTGTGGTGTCGATTTCGACGAAGAGGGCTGCGGAAATGTCTTCCTCTGCGTCGAGTTCGTCGGAGGCGTTGTTGAGGAAGGAGATTACTGTGTTGTTTGAGCCAGATTGTACAAAGTGCGCGTGGTGTTGCTTGGAGAATGTAAAGTCCTGCACGAAGTCCGAGTACTTTCCGCCCAGACGCCAAATGATGTGTCCGTCGTCGCCGGAGATGAGGTAGATGGTGTTGGTGAACCGTGCGGACAGCAGGTAATCGCCGTCCTCGTTCTTGTCGATCGAGTTGACGTGCAGGAAATCCCATCCTGGCTGGGGTGCCGGTGCATCCCAGGGGTTGACCTTGACGGACTCGTGGAGCGGGATGTGGCCGACGGAGCTCCATTCGAACAGTACCTTTCCCGTGGTCGTGTCAACTTCCACGAAACCACCAGGCTGTACCCAGCCGTATTCATCAGGACGACCTAGGTCCCCGAGGGAGATATACTCAGATCGGTACGCGCATGCCAGAGCCGTCTTTCCACCGGGGAGGACGTTAAACTCGTGCATGTTAAACGCAGACAAATCGTTGGTCACCTGAACCGCATATTCAGGCTCATAGTGCTGATCCAGAATATACCCGGTTCCCTTATCTTGGGAATCCCCATATGCATGCTGCAAGATAAACGACAGATGCGGCTTGTCGTCGATGTTATCCACCACCTTAAAGTCGAAGATGTTCCGGTTATTGAACATGCAGGAACCCGCCCAGACGAGCACGCCATCGGCATCGTAGATATAGGGCCCGACTTGGCATGGTTTCCACTGTTTTGTGGGAGCTTCAGGCTCGATTACTCCATACGGAGCAACGAACCAGTACCCAGGACTGGCAGATTCACGATCATAGTAGGCGATATCGAGTTTCAGTGCTCTTACGTCGGGGAGCTGTAATTGTTAGTACATACAGCTATCCACAGTAGTAGGCAGACGTACGGTGACAAAAGACATCAAATCGTCATCGTTGGTTTTTGCATTGGCAAAGTCCCAAAAGGGCAATAATAAACACCACCAAAGCATATCGAATAGCTAATATTCGTCCACCAAAGATAACAAAACGGAAAGAGAAGAAAAGAAAAAACCAAGAAGAAAAGAAGAAAAGAAGAAAAGAAGAAAAGGAGACACGCCAGACCAACTAACTCATTAAAACGGCCGCGTACGTCGTCGTCGTCGTCGGTGGACAGTAGTGGGCTGGTACAATTGTCACACTCCTCCACAGGAGAAATACTATCGGTTTAAGAGCGAAAATATATATATATATATATATAAATAAAAAATAAATAAAAGGTCCCAACGGCCGGTCTAAAAAGCCAACGTAATAAACACGCCGCCGATATACAATTCGGCGATGATCCTGGGCCTAGTATTCTTGGCAGTTTCCGTTTCCACTCCGAATAGGTATTTTTATCCACCGCGCGGTCAGACGTACATACTGCTAATCGGACGATGTGTACGGGTACTTGTATAGAGTCCGGGAGTACACTGTACTTTCTATGGCAACATGGTATGTAGCGAAGTATATGTATACAAGAGATGTCACCACGGAACCATGTGCGCCGATCGGCCGTTCTGGAAAAATCGCCTGTGCGTCTGGGGTTGATTATCTTACACTGCGGTGAAGAAAGAGATGTCCCGCACCTAAACGTCCATATAAGCATACAAAACAGACTATTACCGCATGATGGCTGCACTAGCAGTGTTCAGAAGACTTCAGAGACTATCTGCTTCGTGGGCATTCCGTCTGACTCTCTTTGCAGACTTTGGGGACAGTCCACGCACATCCTAGCTTAAGATGGTGGTTTTTTTGACCGCGGGATAAGCTATCTCAGTCATCGGATATTGCAGACAGAATGACTCCGAAGCTAATTCGGCATCCTTGACTCCAACCCGCCGTCCTCAATGCTATGACCTCGCCTGCCTCAATCACAGACCTGCCAGTTAACCAATAACTACTGGTATCAACTCCCATACTATGCGTCTGAAGTTGATTATTGGCCAGCCTCATGCGGATATATGAGCCATGGATATGTATGTTCGATGTGACTCACTTTATCCCGAGGGCAGACCGTTGGTTCTCGATTTAATCTCCGACAACTTTGTAACGCCGAGTGATTGGGACGTGCATGGTGTGTTTGTGTAAAACATAGAACTTTTACTGAGGGAGTATTTAGTAGGATGTTAAGGATTTAGGTTTTTGAAGTTTGAAGTTTGAAGAATATAATGATAATGCTCTGACTGAAATTGGCTGGAGTGGGCGTCGTATCACTTTCCTTATCAATCAATCTAAACGAAAAGATGATCAGCAGGTGTCCACAGGAGCTTTTGCGTGGGGTTTATTCATCTTTCTTTTAGTTGACTGAGAGGAATTGAAAAGGTAAAGGGAAGGAAGAATGAAGGACCTAAAGGGCTGCTCATCAAATTCCACCCCAACAAGCATCCGACGGTCTCAGTGTCAGGCCCAAGGACTTGAATATCACCGACGATAGTATTGATTAAGCATCATCAGAAACAAACTATCAAGCCAAGCTCAGCCTAACTCGTCTCGTCCCATACTCCGCCAGAACAACGGTTCCCCGGTTGCTCTACCCCTCATCACGACGCATAACCGGCAATAGAAGGCTCCTGTCCCACCTTAGGTTCATACGTGAGAACCTCCACCAGCCCAACTAGCAAAAGTCCCTCTGTGCCAAGCATATCGTCCAACTGCAGCTGCGGAGCGAGGATTTGTCCGCATACCATGTCGATGTCGATTCGTGAGGGCGTCGACGGCTAGAGCCCATGCGAGGGAGTTGTACAATACGCCTTCGTGCAGGTAGACCCCGCCGGCTGGTTGGTTTGGGCAGATGGTTTGAATGTGGTTGTTTGTTACCCCAATGTCACGGATGTCGGAGAGGATGGCTGATGCGTTGGGTCCGCCCATCAGTTGTACGATCTCGTCGAAAGAGGAGTAGACGGTGGTTGTTGGGACGTATGCCGAGTCGCCACCATCAGCTCGCAAGGTATGAATGAACTCAGTCTCCGGGCCTTGTTGCCAGATTGATGGTGTGCAGGCAAGAGGGTCCAGTAACGGGCAGACCAACTGTCTTAGATCTGTACCGTGGAAGTCCCGGCTGATGGCGATGAAATCTTCCACCACGTCCCGAGTGGAAGGCCAATACTTCAATGCCCATTGAACGTCCAGTCCACCCTGAGACCACGAAATGGCCGCCACGTTGGAGTCAGAGCTGACAGCGGAGATGTAATTGATTGCATACGCGACGTATTCGGCATTCGTCTGCGCGTCGTTCAACGAGGCCCGGGGAATATTAACCCAGAAAACATCCGCTTCCGGGAGAGCTTCGCCCAACTGACTGAAGCTGAAATGATATGTCATACCAGCAGGGATTGCAGTTCCTGGCACCAGAATCACTGGCTTCTTTTCGTTCTTTCCATATGTGAACGAATCAGGGATATGGATGGCTGCGCGGAGTCTGTCCTCGGGGATCGAATACATCGCATCGCCGGACCATCTTTTCGGGTATATGTTTCGCTTCGAGGGCGGTGCAGGGCTATTGTTAAAGATCGAATCGAGGCCGATGTTGATATACCCGTCTAGCAGGTTCACCAGGTTCAATGGAACCAATCCTCCTTCGACTAAGCCCTTGACGAGATCCAGCAGGAAATCATCCGAGTCTTTATTTGCAGACGAGTATACCTGACTGATTTTGTCATGCGCATCCCTTACGGACCCAACATCTGCTGCGTTGTTCGGGGTATCTGTCTGGTTGTCGAGCAATGACAAGATCGAGGACGCAGTATCCGAAGTTTTTTGCCCTATTGACGGGTCACCAACAGCTTGGGACAACACCGAGAGAAGACCGGAACTTGAATTTGTCGACGAGTTCGTGCTGCGAGGTACAACCCGTGGCAAACGCCATTGGACTAACGAGCGTCCAGGCAAGCCCTACCCCTGCGGCGAAATCGAACCTCATCTTGCGGCGGTGGGCACTGGAACTAGCGAGTCGGCGCGGATTGAATGAGCAGTCACAGACAGCCTCGCTCCTGCGCAGGCACGGGGCATTGCCCAACATAAAGTCATATTGGCTGCCATTGCTCTATTTTCTGAGCAGCAACGAGTCAGGACCTCGGAGTTTTGCTTGTGAAGCTTTACTGAATCAATGGTCAATACCCGGTGCTTCTGTCCAGTCCCGAAATACCGTTTCTCAGAATTGGTTAACGGCTTTCCACACTTTTCGGTTTCCTGTTCCCCGCAACGACGATCATTTTTAAACTGAGTCGACAAGGGGAAATAGATGCCGTTGAGCGCTATTGATTACGAACAGACAGTGAACAGCACATGCAGCATCCATTCGTGATGCCCGTTCGGGGACTCGCTTGCAGAATCCCCGCTATTATTGAATCAAGAGCCCTCGATTGATAATACCGCACCCAAACAAAAACCTTTCATTTCTCTAGGACTACGGAGTGGGACTCCGGTTCAGGGAGAATTAACTCGACGGTCAATATGGGGGCGAGTGCTAATCACTAGACTCTGACTTATCCAACGTGCTTGGATTATGCGCAACCCGGTGTCCGTGTTGGTCCGTATAAATAACCTTCAGGGACTCAGCAAGCTCTACGTGAGTGCATACAGAGTAGGAAGAACAACATACCTTGGGAGGATTTGCTACGCCCTCTTCCCTTGCTCCGGCCTCATCCGTGACAATCTTCTCGACCTGAATATCCAGGTTAGAAAGAATAGCAGATGATAAGGAAAAGGAGTAGATTTACCTTTCCTTGATGGGAACCTCCGCGGTATCTAGTAAAGACGAAGTCATCTTCGTAAATGGTTTCTCCGTTCTTATCCCTGACGCCTTCGACGGACATTTTGTACTGTATTCTGTGAGGTATATGATCTAACTAGAGTCAAAATTGTTTCTGGCAATTCGATAAGAATTCGAGACTTTTATGTATCTGGTCCTAGATGATGCGATGGTTTAGTGAATATGATGTCATGGTAGTGGTTCCTCTTCACCAGGGATGCCCCTGGTAGACGGATCAAGTAGGACCAGGCGTGACTGGTCAAGATGAACACTCGAGACCTTTATGTGATAGCAAGGCAACCGACCAGGATCACCGAGGAGCATATGAGCACTGTATACCCGAGAACCGGTATGTTCGAGTCTACATAAACCATCCCGGTGCATCACGCAAAGCCGTACAGGAGAAACATGATGATTGTCAAAAGTATAAACATGACCCAAGCAACATGAACGGAGCACTTGTACTATGGGCTTGCCATCAGGCCGGGTATCCGTGAGAGTGGTAGAGCCAGAGCATGTCGTACAGATGCCCTAACATCCTGGGTTCAAGGTTATTCACTTCAGCAACCGGTAAACGGACGGCCATTGAGAACTATAGCAATCAGCAAGAATGCGCCGGAACCGTCTGTCAGCCACGTGGAAAGCCAAGGCTGGGGAAGACAAATTCGTTTCATCTTCGGAGATGCATTGTTCTTTGAGGTTGGGGTCCATGAATGATCCGGTGATATGGTCAATCAGAAGGGAGTGGAGATCTGGGGGGACATTCCCGAGAACCCAGATCGTTTTTCCTTTCCGCATTCGACCAGTTGTTTGTTTAATTTGGAGACTCCCCAGCCTCCAAAAAGTACGGCCGTCCAATGGCTGTATACTTGGTTATCTCTCCCTGCCACCATGTTTGGAATGCAACTACAGAGCGGAGAAGAGGAAAGCGTCAAATGACGGCATACGGGATGACGATAAGTTGAAACAAACCATCAGCGTCATCCGTATGATATTGTAGGCCTATTCATCGTCAGTTGTCACTTGTCAGAGGATCCGCCCAAAGTGTAACAGTTCCGGCGATGACTACTACCGTTGCACCCAACCAGTGTGACATACCACGGAATCCATCTCAACCCGACACGCTGCCTCTTATATTTGATAGTGGCTATACAATTAAAGATAATTCCAGAGAAAGCGAGAAAGTAACAAAGAAAGTGCCCAATCGGACAGCATCACGATACATACGGTATCGTATCAGATCTAAAATGTAACTTCAGTGGCTCATGTCCCTCAATGGTTTCTCACAATTAGAATGTGCAATATAAAGTATGAATTATTCAAAAATCTGGCTCAGATAAGCTCAAGATTATCTCGAATCAAATTGTTGTAGAAAGTAGAACCGCAGCATAGTTTGGTCGCACTGTAGACCCCAGATGGTAATTACCGTACGTGACATTAGGAACCATACCGTTCTATCGCTTTACAACTCATGCAGTTTTCTTCTATCATCCAGTTTAATTCGTATTTGAGTCTGAATTGAATGATTTTTTGATATAATAATATAATTTTTTCCCCACCCTTTTTTTGACACTTCCTTATACGGTAACCCTTCTCCCTCTCGGATCCTCACCTCAACCTCCCCCAGGAATGGCCACGCGTTGATCCAAAGCCCTCTCTACATACTTCAATTTTCCTTTCCGTTATCGTCGATTCATTTCCTCCTTAGAAAGCGTGAAGAGAGGGCGAGCGGAATAGAAAGAGTGAGCCAAACTGCCGTGACAATTGGAGTTGCCTTTAACTTTATCAAACCCGCCTCTGCTGCTACTCTCCATCTTCCCCATATTATCGTGACATCTTCTCTCCAAAACGAACGGAGAAAACGATCTGAGGCTCATTGACCTTTTTGGCTGACGATACTACCTCGATCGGGATTTATACCTGATATTCCTTCCCTTCCGTCTTTTCTCCGTCTATCTGACTGGTCACTTCTTCCCCATCTTCTCTTTCCTTCCGTTTATTTACCACCTACTACTCCCCGGCTTATCCCCGTGCTTTGGATCTCGTGTTGACGCTTATCTCTTTATGGGAGAGTGTCAATTCTGATTTCAACTGCTCTATTTATTAAGCATCACTCACTGGTTTTGTTTGCTTTCGCGGACGTCGTGAACGATTACTACCGATTGTTACCATGACTGCTTCGCTGGTCAGGATCTTGCACAGATTGCAGGAACTTTTCTCCAACGTTGTGTCTGCGCTAGAGACCATGATCCTCTTCCCTTCGCTCTTCCGGGAATTTTCCCAACGGCGCCAGAAAGGTTTCCTGGGCGTACGATGGCGACATCGGACATTGGACGACTTTGCAGAGGAGGTCGACCGCCTCTTTACTGCACCCCTGTCGATGCGGAATATGATCGTCATGTCGGAGAAGATACGCGCTCAGTTTAGGTCATGCCTGCAGTCCAGCCCTGTGTGCATGCTACCATCCTACAACCATGCGTTACCGTCGGGCGCTGAAGTGGGGACATACTTGGCTCTGGATGTTGGAGGGTCGACGTTTCGTGTGGCTTTGATCGAATTGCATGGGAAGGGGAACATAAAGGTACTTCGGGAGTCATCCGCATACATCGACAACAATGTCAAGCTGTTGGAGGGCACATTGTTCTTCGATTGGATGGCAGAGAGGATCGAGTCGATGCTGCAGGAAGTTGGTTCAAGCTACGGTCGGGGAGAGTTGCCTCTATCCATGGGTCTGTCATGGTCTTTCCCTATTGAACAAACATCGATTAGCAGCGGACTGGTTATCCACATGGGCAAAGGTTTCTTGTGTTCCAATGGCACTGTAGGGCAGGAACTAGGAGACCTGATCGTCCAGTCGTGCCGCGCGCGGAACCTTAACGTACAAGTGGATGCCATTGTCAACGACAGTTCTGCCACGCTTCTGTCTCGGGCCTATGTCGACCCTCAAACGCGCATGTCGCTCATTCTGGGAACCGGGACCAACGTTGCGATTCACTTCCCGATACACGAGATTGGATTGACGAAGTTTGGTACCAGGCCCCCGGGTTGGTTCGACTATGCCAAGAACGTTATTATCAACAGCGAAATGAGCATGTTCGGCGGTAGTGTGTTGCCCATGACCCGATGGGATGACATCCTCAATCGCACCCATCTTCGACCCGACTACCAGCCTCTGGAATACATGATTACTGGACGCTACCTGGGTGAGGTTGTCCGACTCATTATCGTCGAGGCTGTCGATACTGCCAATCTGTTTGGAGGAGAGCTGCCGCACTCCATGCGGGAGCCATATTCGCTCGACACCAGCATCGTTGCATTTCTCGAAGCCGACACATCGCCATCATTGGCTTCTTCGACAGCTTTGTTCCAAAAACAGCACACCTTCCCTGTGACCCCATCCTCAGAGGACCTGCATTTCCTACGCCGCGTATGCCAGACCGTTTCGCGACGAGCTGCTGGTTATCTGGCTACCGCAATTCACAGCATGTGGTGCTTGCGCAATGACACTGAGTTCCCTACTTCTACCACGACTATCAAGGAGGCTTCGGAAGTCACCGTGGTGGAGAGTGAGCCAGAATCTCGGAGTCTGTCGATTGCATGCGATGGCAGCGTGATCAACAAGTACCCCGGATTCCGAGACAGCTGCCAAACCTATCTCAACCAGCTGACTGAACAGACCAGCGGCACTACAGAATCATCTATCAGCCTTGACCTTGCACCGGAAAGCGCAATTGTTGGGGCTGCGGTTGCTGTTGCCGTGGCTGTTGCCAAAAAAGGGCCGAAATCTGTATAATGTGCACTTTTCTCATTCGCGCATTCTCCGTTTTCGTTCTACTTTTGCTCGGGCATCGAGTTCTGCATTTTGCATTCCATGGTGTTTTGCGTGTCTGTCCTATTGGTATATCGTCTTTACGTTTGTATTGACAAAGGGGGTTTATTGCTATCGTCATTGCATATAGGGTTGGCATCATTCTTTTTTGGTCGGATGGCTGGGTATTAAGCATCGGTGTATATAATATAACCCAGCGTCATCGCCTGTCCTCTTTAAGGATCGTTCTATTAGACTAAGATAAATATGTACTAGTCATTAACCAAATTATAGGTACCATTATTCCTTGCAAAGATCCTGCAACAATTCCAGCATCCTTAGCTGGAGAGCCGAGAGTTCATCTCGAGGCAGCTTATCTTTGTGCTGTTTATCATGATCATCATTATTCTTATGGTCGTCAGTGACCAGATCCCGCTTTATACTGAAGAAGGGTATCCCCAGTCCTCGTAGCTCGAGTGTGAGAGCTTGTGCCATTTGGTTGGATGCGGCATAGATCTTTGCGTCGTAGGTGTTTAGTTCTGTCTGGTCTTCTTCGGCTGTCTGTACTTTGTTAGTTGACCACCATTACCAATGGGTTTTGGGGAAATGGAGACGTACAGATACCCCCTTGGAAGAATCAACCGGCGCCCCAACAGATCGTCTGTAAAAGTCAATTCAATCATACAAACAAGCCCACCCATGCCGCAGCAACACCCACCACCAACAAATCCAATAACCAGGAAAAACCAGGGCAAAAACTCACAGCACCTCATCCAACTCCTTCTTCTTCTCCCCCCTTGCCTTCTGCTTCTTGCATAGTGCCTCGCGTCCCTGCCACCATTGCTTCTCGTGGTCGTGTTGGGATTGCATTAGGCGGCGGATGCGGCGCTGGAGGACTTCGTTTTGGGAGACTGTTCGCATGACGTGGCGGAGGGCGGAGGACCATGTTGTTATTGTTGAGGGGTCTGTTGTTGGTTCTGTTGGTTTGGGGGGTTGCGGGTGTTGATGTTGAGGGTGTAGGTGTGGTTGTGGTTGTGGTTTGGATGTCGAGGGTACTGGAACTGGAGGGATGTCTGGGGGTTCGTATGCGTCGTCTTCGTCATGGCTGGGTTGTTGGGTCTGAGAAGTAGAATTATAAGGATGCTGGATAGAGGGATTCTGAGCGTCTGGTGCTGGCGGTTTGGACAGGGCTGATAATGTGTTTAGAATCGAGGTCAAGTCGGAGGAGTTGTAATCTGCCATAGCGCCGTCTCATAAATTCTTTCGTAAGTATTCCGCAAAAATCAAGTATCAAACAAATTGTCAAAAAAGCATGTTCTGTCAAGGTCATCTGTATAGATAGCTGTAGAAGAGCAGCCATCGGAGCTAACGAGCCATCTCCGTTGCCAAGACTCCCCTCTGAACTTGAAAATTTCCCCGGCGGCATCAACTATTCTCGCCAAACATCCGGACTCGCGCTGTTCCACGGATCCCACTAGTACCAGCCTGTCTCTGGTCTGTGATTCCTTTTGCCATTGAGGTATAGGGGATTGTCCCGTTTATATTGTCATTGTACCCCGCGTCACGGCCGTCTTGTATCGACCGAACCATACTAGTGTGGGAGCACCGGAATCGTCAAGCACAACAAAACCAGACCAACCTTCACATCGAGAAAAGAGAACGAGAACGAAATATATCACCATGTCCCGATCCGCCGCAGACGCCACCCGCTTCACGGCCACAGGCCCCTACGCCAGCTCCAAGCCCGGAGCTCCAGCCTACAAACTCCCCGACTTCATGTCCAACTCCGGAAACAACAGCAACGCCAATCCATCACAGGGCCCAGGAGGGCAGCCGGAGACGCCGAAGCAAAAGGTCGAGCGGTTGCGGGCGCAGGCAAAGGCAGCGAGAATGGCGCAGTCGTCGTCGGGGTTTGATCGGTTTCTCGGGGCGGGACGGGATCTTGCGAATAAGGCTCATAAGGTGACGGTTTATTCTCTGATTGCTGCGTCGGGTATGTTCCCTTTTGTTTCTAGATCTCGATTGAACGAAGGGCAATTGCTGATTGAAGTAAAGGCGTCTGTGGTGTCCTCACGGTCTACTCCATCATCTCCCTAACACTCTACAACCGCCGCCAAAAAGCCCTCTGGGTCGAGAACGAACTCAAGAGACTCGAAAACGCAAAGCTAGCACACGCCAGCGGCACCGCAACCCCCGAGCAAGCCGAGATCGTGAAGAACGAGATGATCGGGGAGATCTACAAGCGCAAGAAGGACGAGGAGAAGGAACAGCGGCCCTGGAACCAAGCGAAGCGGTATCTTTTCGGAGGGTTGAAAGCGGATGAAGCTGCAGCCGCACCGGAGTCTGCGGCTGCTGCCGTCGACGGTCAGAATAAGCCGGGTGTGCTGGACGCGCTTAATGCGAAGGCTGCGGAGGACGCCAAGTTGAAGGGCGAGCAGCTGCCGGGGCAGCTGGATGTTCTTGCGGAGAACGCAGAGTCCGCTACTAAGCAAACATCACGAAGCTGGACGAGCTGGCTTACCGGACGGTGAGGTCGAGCCACCCTGTCTCCTCGTCTCGCTCTCTGGCAACTATTCCTCATCATCCTCTTGCATGGTCAACATCCTCATCTCTTCCTCCACACCATTCTCGTTTCAAGTCCATCCGGGGTTGCGGCGTCTGTTTTACTATTTTCTCTCTATTACTACGATCTCCATCGCATCCATCTGTATACTGTGTATGTACATATAACGTTTTCTATTGTCTTGGTTATGAGGTGTCTTGTCTGAAAAGAAGAATGTAGTGTCTGATATGAATCACCTGAGATTTAAGCGAAGCAATTGATCTTCAATGTTTGTCCAATAACAGCATAGGAATTACATTCAAGTGACTAAACAGCGGGTCCTTGTATGTGAATCATTATTATCCCAAGAGTTCTTAGATACATTAACCGAAAATTAAGAAAAAGACACAATTTCCAATTCGTTCCAAATAAATCAATAAATCATTAACCCAAAATGCTGTACATAAACGAGGATCCAACAGAATCATGACATGTCGTCTAATGGCATGGTATCTAGATCAAAGCTACTTTTTTTCCAATCCTATCCCAAAAAAAGAATCGCCGGAACCCCTTTTGTCTTGCTTTTTATTTCCCCAAAATGAAGAAAAAAGACTTTTGATGAAACAGACTTAGTGAGCACCGTTGGCCTTGGATGCCTTGACAGCCCGGCGAGCCCGGACGGCCTCAGCCAGGTTCTCAAGAGTCTCGACGGTGTGCTCCCAGCTGATACAGGCGTCGGTGATACTGACACCCTGCTTGAGACCGGAAGGACCCTCCGCGGGCATCTTCTGGTTACCCTCGTTGATGTTGGACTCGATCATGACACCAATAATGGCGTCCTCACCCTCACGCATCTGCTCGGCCAACTCCTGAGCGACAAGAGGCTGGTTGCGGTGGTTCTTGTTGGAGTTGCCGTGCGAGCAGTCAACCATGACCACCTCGCGCTGGTTCTTCGCGCGCAGAGCCTCGCGGGCAGCCTTGATGTTGGCGCGGTCGTAGTTGGTACCCTTGCTGCCGCCACGGAGGATAACGAATCCGTGCTCGTTGCCAGAGGTCTTGGTGATGGCGGCCAGACCCTGCTTGGTGACACCCAGGAAACGGTGGGGGTGGGCAGCAGCGCCAATGGCATCAATGGCAACCGTCAGGTTACCGTCCGTGCCGTTCTTGTAACCAATGGGGAAACTCAGACCAGAAGCAAGCTCACGGTGCAATTGCGACTCGGTGGTACGGGCACCAATGGCACCAAGGGAAATAAGGTCGGCAAGGTACTGGGGCGAAATGGTGTCGAGCATCTCACTGGCAATGGGCATGCCGGTGCTGGTGAGGTCTGCGTAGAGCTTACGGGAAACGCGCAAGCCCTTGTTGATGTTGTAGGACTCGTCAAGGTCGGGGTCGTTAATCAAACCCTTCCATCCGACCGTTGTACGGGGCTTTTCGAGGTAGGCACGCATGATGATACAGAGATCACCCGACAGCTTCTCGGAGAGTTGCTTCAGACGACGGGCGTATTCAATGGCAGTCGCGGGGTCGTGGATGGAGCAGGGGCCAACAACGACGAGGAGACGGTCATCGCGCTGCTCAATGATCTCGACGGCCTGGTTGCGACCCGAGCGGACAGCAGCAATGGCTTCACTGGGCTATTCATTGTTGTCAGTTACGTTCTTGGTGTCTTTTTCTTCTGCCGTATCCTCGCTTCGTTTTCCCTTGTGCGATTTTTTCGTTTCGGGCAGAAGGGTCCTGGCAATGGGGAATGACTCACTCCCGGGATCTCGGTCTGAAGGAACTGGGGGGAGAGCAAAGGGTCGTAGCCCAGGACTAGAGAGGCATTGTTAGCAGGAGAAATGATTTAGAGGAAGCAGAATCGAATACATACCACGAGTGTCCTCGTTGACTTCTGTTGTGCTGACGAGAGGCATTGTGTAGGATCAAGGTGGGATGATCTAGAAGTTTTTTTCGCGGATGAGGGGCACGAATTGTTGCCGGAGGAGAGGATGGAGAGGTTGAGAAGAGGAAGAAAAAGAATAAGTACAGAGTAGAACAGATCCTTTTATGTAGAAGAGAGAAAAAGAGGAGAAACAACAGTCACACAGCAATGCAAACAAAAAGCAAAGAGTGAATGAGCTGAAAAAGATACACTCAGGCCGATCTAGTTAGGAATGCGAGTTAGTCATCAGCGAAGTTTCTGGATTGCCCGCTCACTGATTGGCCACGCTTATTTTAAGGCCGAGGATAAAGTATAGACTGGGTATACTAACTATCTACGGAGTATATGGTTTATTTACAGATCAATTCAATGATAGTAGACGATTTGAACAGCATCTGTTTGTATGTAAATGTATTCCTCTTGTCATGCATCAAATATGACACCGCTTGAAAAATACACCAACAGCCAAAGCCAGTGAGAAACCCCCAAGGGTACACGTGAAAGTCGAATGTCCCCCCTCATCTGCACGAACTTCTGGTTTTGGTGTATCTTAGCATTTGTGGTCATCATGTGTATTCCCCCTTGCCATGATGACACCGGTCTCCAGCCGTATTTTCTACTATGTCGCCATATACCAGATCCACGAATATGACCTTCCGGCACGCATCATTGAACCAGGCACTTTACCTTCGATTGATCTTCGCATACGAGTTAAAAGTCGACCTTTGTATCCGTGTCCCATCCTTTGGCTGCTTCTGCTTTTTCTATCAACCGCAAGAAGAGCCTGTTGTAGGAAGAAAAATGCCTAGAAAAGTGTCACAATCTGTGTCAGTCATGATTCCATGGTGGCTGCTTAAGAATGCTGCCTGGACAGTGAGCCGGAGCTGTATAACAGAGCTCCCAGTTGTAATTGGTTACATTACATTCCCATAACCATGATGCGCCGCACATGTTTGCTGCGTTGTACTTCATGAGAGCAACTTCATTTAGACTTTCTCCTCCAAACATGGATTTGCCAGGTATTGGGAAGCGAATTATCCAGGCTTCCCTTTCAGCCTCACAGAAGCTAATATTGAAGGAGCTCTGGTAGAGCGAGAAGCAAACAATCCTCTCCTTTTCGGTATCGACCTGCTAGTTTGCAGATGCCCCCGGATGCACTTTCTTGCCCACTCCATTACGGACATCCGGTAAGCTACTAAGCCAATATCGTCAAATAACATGCTCCCAAGCGCCCGGGTGAGTGATACCAGTAAGAAGAGCTCCGAGTAAATGCACTCTGTAGGGCGCATAACTCCGTAGAGTAGGTATCCGTTCCCCGCCATGCTCACTTCGTGCAAGACAGCTAATCTATACAGTACCAACAACACTAGCCAGTAGTATATACATGATCGGCTACTGGACTGCCAACCCCTGGAATCTACAGGGATGAGAATGACATTGATTGCTTGATATCAAAGTGGTGGTTCTGCGCCTGTCAGACCGCTAACTTGCAACGACCGTTGAAATTTTGATAGAATGAACCGTGGGGTATACAGTGAGGTATTTCCGCACTAATTTATAGTTGAAATAGATGATTTCAGGTGGTATTTGTTTCTCAGTGTGCAATGGTTTTGTTCGTGTTGATATCCCCGTTCCCCAATAGGAATAGCGCGATTACTTTGAATAGCCTCATCATCTGTCATGTGATTCCGGTCTGGGCTGTTTCCTCATCCACGACCACTCCTGCTTTTTCTTCAACTTCAACCAGCTTTTTTAATTCCTCTACATTGGACACTGTCTCTGGAATAGATTCTTATAACTGTTTGATTATTCTTGTAATCTTCCCTTACAATATCTTAATGCAACAGATGGTCTCGGAGCTATATCCCTACGCCGACATCCTGGTTACATAGCTCAACGACTACAGATGCACTTTGCTCGTGCATGACCGATGATCTCAATTTCCGATCTGCGCGCTTCACGTCTTGATAACCCTTGATTTCTCGATCCTACTCGCGGGTTATATACTATTACACGCACCGGTACAAAGAGCACTGTCAGGAACCGACATACCCCGGCATGTTTACCTTTTCGACTAAGCGTCAGTGGACGCCCGATGGGTCGATCGATTCCGAAGACATTGCGATCCGTGAGAGAAAGGTATGCAGCTCTGTGGATCCAGACCGTTGATTCGTTCTGGCGATCAGCTCTAATGATTCTATTCTCTTTGGTCAGTTTGCTAACATTCGGACTTTAGAGACTCCGTCCGCTAACTTTACGCACTCCACCGGATATCTGTCAAACTTTCTGCGAAGCCAATCATCTGTTCCCTCAGTTCCATCTCTCTACTTTGACACCAATTGAGCCTTCGGACGACGACAGCAATGATCAACACCGGTCTGACAATGCGGCCCTTCCTACCACATCTTTACATCGCCCACTTCCTGGTTCTTCGTCAGATTCGTCGATGGATGTCGACACTCTCCTATCGTCGATAAGTGGTGACGGTCTGTCGCCGTCGTCAATGAGCACGCAGCATAGTCATGGCAGCGTTCAGCCGTCGCCCATTCCTCACAGCCTCATCAACCAGTCATTGAACATTGATGGAGGACATCCGGCTGCTATTAATCAAACACCTTTCGCCAACCCAGATTCCAATGTCGCCATGGATCAAGATTTCATACCTGGAGCGGAGGTTTCTGGCTTGCATCCGAATGCTGCAAGAAACCATGAAACGGTCTGGTGGACCCTTCCAGGTATCCCCAGCCCCATTAGTGAGGATGAGGGTGTTTGTGTGACTGGTACCGGCACACCGGCGAGCGAGGCTGAAATGTCATATACAACATCTCACCCCACGTCATCCCATTCATATGGCGCCCACCATGACCAGGCACTATGGAACACCGATATGCAAGCACCATCTACCAACAACATCAGTTGCGAAGAACCCGAACCATCTATCCCCGCCGCAAATACGGCATCGAACAAGAAGAAATTCAATATATTCATGGGCTATCGCGCTGACTGTGATAAATGTCGACAAAAGGTGCCTGGTCATTACAGCCACATTATACACACTTGAACGCTCTTCTTTGATCCTCTTCAAAATCGCCTCTTACATTGTTTCTCTATCGCAGATCATGGTGGGTTTCCATTGTGTGATGCCATGTATATTTTTATGTATTCGTTCGTGTTCAGACTTAGCGAGCGCTGGGATGGTAAGGTTTGGGGTTGCTATTCTTTTACTATAATACGGCAGGAACCGTCATATGGATTTGGTCCATGGAGTTTCAAGGGTTATGTTTTATACCATTCGCGGGGGTTCTGGGATTTGTTCAGAAAAGGATACAACTGGCAGTGTTGGATGGATACTGTATTCAATAACTTCTCGCTTATTATGTACTCTACAATATACCGGAGTTGAATGTCTGCGGTACAGATGACATAAGCCTAATGTGCTCGTACTCCTACTGTGCTCGAATATGAAAGATTCTCGATTCTGTCTCTACAATTTAACGTCTTTCAACGCTTTGCAGCTTTCCAAAATGACCCGCTTCCCCGGTAAACACATTAGCCGCTCCTCATTGCCGGCCGCTCGACGGACCATGGGCGGAATTTGGCCGGTTGGTTGTATATGAAGATCGGTTTGTGCCCGCCTGCTGGGTTCAATTCGAACGGCGCTGATGTTCTTAGAACCTCCTCATTTATAACTTCGTCGTACTTGAGTCGTTCATTCGCTCTGGCTACAGCTTGCGAAACACAAAATGGCCTCTCCTATCCCCCGAGGCCTCCGCCAGGTCCTCCAGAAAAGCCCCAACGATATCGTTATACTCTCCTCCCTCCGTACCCCGGTAACTCGCGCGAAGAAGGGCGGCTTCAAGGACTCCTACCCGGAAGAACTACTTGCCAATGTGCTCCGTGCGACTCTAGAGGCAAATCCGAAGCTCGACCCGGCCCTGATCGAAGATGTCGCGATTGGTTCCGTCCTGCAGGAGCTTGGCGGCGCGAAAGCCGGCCGTATGGCGCAAATCCACGCTGGATTTCCCAGCACAGTCCCCTTCCACACGATCAACAGACAATGCTCGTCGGGATTGGCGGCTGTCACGACTATCGCGAACGGTATCCGCGCCGGCGCGATCAACGTTGGTGTCGGTGGAGGAATGGAGTCAATGACCCGGAACTATGGATCCCGCGCTATTCCCACGGTGCTGTGGCCTGATTTGAAGGAGTCGCACTCCAAGGACTCCCGTGATTGTATCATGCCTATGGGTATCACTTCGGAGAACGTCGCTGCGCGGTACGGCGTCACCCGTGCCGACCAGGACGCTTTCGCGGCCGAATCGCACAAGAAGGCCACCGCTGCGCAGAACACTGGTCTCTTCGACTCTGAGATTGTCCCCGTCAAGACTCTGTCGTTTGATCCCGAGAACCCAGAGGCACCGCCTAAGGATATCGAAGTCACCAAGGACGACGGTATCCGGCCCAACATCTCCGTCGAGAAGATGGCCAGCTTGAAGCCTGCCTTCTCTGCAACTGGCACCAGCACCGCCGGTAACAGCTCGCAGGTCAGTGACGGCGCTGCCGCGGCTTTGCTGATGCGCCGGTCTACCGCTACTGAGCTCGGTCTCTCGTCGTCCATTAAGGCCCGCTGGGTGGGTAGCTCCGTTGCCGGCTGCGCTCCCGACGAGATGGGTGTTGGTCCCGCAGTCGCGATCCCCAAGCTCCTCGAGACGCTCGGCATGGGTGTCTCTGATGTCGGTGTCTGGGAGATCAACGAGGCGTTCGCCTCGCAGGCGCTGTACTGCACGCGCAAGCTCGGAATCGACGAGGCCAAGGTTAACCCTAAGGGTGGTGCTATTGCCATCGGTCACCCGCTGGGTGCAACTGGTGCTAGACAGCTTGCTACTCTGTTGCCGGAGATGGAGCGCTCTGGACAGGAGGTTGGTGTTGTGAGTATGTGTATTGGTACTGGTATGGGTATGGCTGGTATGTTTGTTCGGGAGTAGGTTCCTTGTACAGTTTGATTTCAGGTTTTTTGCATGTATGATATAGCATAGTGCATGTATGTATATACGAGGTTATACGATTTTCAATCTCAAAGCAATGTTCATTTAATTGTACTCGGAGTATATGGAGTAGATACATTCCCATACTATGAGGATAGCGTGCTCCTGTCCACATCTCCCATAACCAATGTTTCCAATACCAAATTAGCCAATTGACGTGGAAACAAAGAAATGTTCTCAAAAATAACATTCAGAATAAAATGATATCCGCATACATAGGTCAAATGCTGAACGATCACGTGAGAGCCCTCCTCGACCGCCCGGCCTTTTCAACTTTTCCACCTCCGCAGCCAATTTTCCAGTTGATTGTCAATTGAATGACCCCCCCACCACAAACATGCGACCCTCAGCACGCCTACTGAGCCTGGAGATCTCCGGCTCCCGAACCCTCTACGTCTGCTCGAGCTGCCGACAAGAAGCCCGTCCGCGGCCGGTGCTCTCCCGCCAATTCCTGCGCAATGCCTCGACTTCTTCCGGCTCGACTCCACTCACTGAGAAGGTGCGCCGCAAGCTCTGGGGTACAGAGAACCCGCCTGGTATGAAGGATCCGTATGGTGGGCCTGGTGCATTGGAGAAGAAGTTGAGGGTGAATCAGAATATTCAAGAGGAGGATGCTGGTAAGGTGGAATCGGCGGAACCTGCTGAGGTTGCGGAGACGGCTGGGAGGGAGGATGCTGATTATGTGCCTGCGATGTCGTGGGAGAGGATTGAGAAAATTGGGCATCTTGGGGGGTGGGAGAATTATCCCGCTACTCAGGCCGATGAGTATAGCCCGTGAGTTCATCTTGCAGATCCATGTCGAGAGACGGTGCTAAAGCGATATAGGTTCATGCTCAAACAAAAACTTACCAAGCGCGAACACCTGTACCTGGCCGCCCACCAAACCGCCGTGGAACTCTGCCTCCTGCACGCCCTCAAGAAGCCATTGACAAGCATCTACGATGTCGCCGAACACGACAAGTCCGTTTTCAAGATGATCTGGAAGTGCAAGATCCAGCCCGGTGCCAATGGCCAGTGGGATGGTGTCGTCTACCCCAACAAGCAGACCGAGGCTGCTCTGGTCTACATCTTCGAGCAGATTGGTGGTCAGCCTGAGGCTGCTGTTGCGGAGGCTGCGGCCGAGACTAAGCAGGTTGAGGCTGAGGCTGAGGCTCCAGCGGAGGAGTTAGACGAGGGTACTTATGTATCTGAATCTCCTGGGATTCCGTTCTTCGGGTACCAGGATGTTCGTGACAAGGGGTTCCTTTCGTTGGCTTTGAATGATCCCGCTGTGAAGTTTGCCGTACGTTCCTCTCCTGCTTGAGCCCTACGGTGCAGTACTGACCAGATACATATAGTTCCTGAAGAGATTCTCCCAGCTCAGCGGCCATTTCCCCGACCCTATCATCCACCCGATCTCCAACGTCAAGGAAGTCGTGGACCTCATCCTGAAGACCCTCAACCCCAAGCCGATCAAGCTGGCCGATCAACTTTTCAACAAGACCAGCCTCCAGAGCCGGTCGAATGTCAAGATCTTCGCCAAGAAGCAGAGGTCTTCGAACCGGGATGAGGAAATGGGAAGGAAGAAGGTTATCGAGGCCGAACTTCGTGCCCGGGGTCTTATTGCTTAATTGACAGGCAGGGGATGAGATATGTTTGGTATTAGTTCATGTCGTATATGTAGTGTCTTTTCTTTTCTAGCATGTTTTAATAAGAAAAATGCTTGTACAATAGATGATTTGTGTTAAACCATCCTCTATTCAATATTATAGTATATACCACGGTCCAGTAGCCGATTCCTGCGCCAGACGCCTATCCAAGACAAAAAGACAAGATAATCACCTCTTCGCCCCAGCAGGAATACTAAACCCTCTCGTCATAAAATCACTACCACCCTTCTTCCCATCCTTGGACTCCTTGGTAAACAGACTATTGATGTTCTCATTACCTCCCATCAACTTCTTCCTCTTCTTGTGCTCATTTTCCTCTTCCAAGACTTTCGCGGTCAGCGATGCCGTCGCGGCATTCTTAATCCCAGTATTCGTCGTAGGAGTAGACGTGCCACCGCGGCTGTTAGTTGTCTTCCCGGCTCCGGCAGCTTCGGGATCATTCGTGGACTCGCCGTTGGCGTTCTTCTTGCGCTTCTTCGAACCCGGGGCTTTTTTCAGGGAATGCGTGAGGCCTTGTTCGGCAAGATTTTGACCGCGGGCGATGAGTCGTTGTTTATCGGTTTCTTGGGGTGGAAGGATGGAGATTATGTTGTCTTCGGTGTAGGATTCGTTGCACTGCGCCAGTTAGCCATATCACCCCCGTTAGGTAAAACCGAAAAGGGCTAGAACTCACCTGCAAGCATTTATCACCCTTAAGCTGCCTAACCGCCTCCTCCGAAAACACATGCCCACAAGGCACCAAATAAACCGACTTAACACCAGGCCCCAACACCTTCGCCGTGATCGGACAAATCCACCCCTCCCTCTTCTCCCCCTTCCCAGTCCCAGTCTCCCGCCGATGCTCCTCCCCACGTTCCGTATCAACTTCAAATTTCAACTCCACCACATCCCGCAGACTCTTAACACGCCCACACAGAAGCTCCTCACAGTCCGCCTTCGAGCTAATCCCCTCCGCCTCTTCGCCGGGGAGCAGGAAGGTGAGGATGGCGTCTTTGTTGTATAGGTTTCCTGTGCAGTCGGAGACGATGGGGCGGACTAGGGGGGCGTGTGAGAGGGGGCAGGTTGTCCAGAAGTGGGATTGGACTTCGCGCTGGGCTTCTTTGACTTGCGCGGTGCTGGGGGATTTGGCGGCTTCGCGGACGAGTTCGCGGCGGGTGGGGATGCTGTTTTTGTTAGTATTGCTTTGCTAGCTTGGTTTTGTTGAGAAGCTTACCTTCCTCCGTCATTACCCATTTTGACTATAGCTATGAACGAGAATATAGTGTCAATGTTGTAATGTACAATCGCCGCACGCCACAAATTGATAACTAGCGGATGACTAAGACCCCGGATTAGATGTGATGTTATCACCAGCTGGCCAGAAGCTCTCCGCATTATTTTTTAGCAAAGGTACAGAGTACACCTGATAAATTGGATGAGAAGAATTGGTGAACACTCAATGTCATCATGATCTTCTCTCAAAGCTCGCTTTTTCTCGCTGTGAGCTTAGCGTCGACGGTAGTCACCGCTGCGAAAGATGGCTCGTCTCGACCGCGAGGTGTTGCTCCGGAATGTATGCATCGCCCATTGAACTGTGCCATACGATAAGCTAGAGCTAATAATACGATACAGTCTCCAAATTCTACAAAGACTCGGATACCTTCACCTGCATATCCCACCCAGCACTCCAAGTCCCCTTCTCCGCCGTAAACGACGACTACTGCGACTGTCCCGACGGCAGCGATGAACCCGGCACATCAGCCTGCTCGCATCTCTCCCCTCACTCGCCCTTATCCGTTGCCGACCGCCCGGGTGCCAATGATCTCGACCTTACCTCCGCGTTACCAGGCTTCTACTGCAAGAACAAAGGCCACCGGCCCTCGTACGTTCCGTTCCAGCGGGTCAATGACGGAATCTGCGACTACAACTTCTGCTGCGACGGCAGTGACGAGTGGGCGCGTGTGGGTGGTACCAAGTGTGAGGACCGATGCAAGGAACTCGGCAAAGAATGGCGGAAGAAGGAGGACAAGCGGCAGAAGTCGATGACTGCTGCGTTGAGGAAGAAGAGGGATTTGCTGGTTGATGCTGGACGACAGGAGAAGGAGATTGAGGATGATGTGCAGCGGTTGGAGACGGAAATTGAGGCACGTGAGATTAAGGTTAAGAATCTTGAGGCGGATTTGGAGGAGGCGCAGAAGCAGGAGCAGAGCAAGCTTGTTAAAGGGAGGAAGAAGGGGAAGGTTAATGTGCTGGCTGAGGTGGCTAAGGGTCGGGTTGAGGAACTTCGGGAGAACTTGATTGAGGTTCGTAAAGAGCGGGATGAGACTCGCTCGCGGGTTAAGGAGCTTGAGGCCATCTTGTCCAAGTTCAAGGAGGAGTACAATCCCAACTCCAACGATGAGGGTGCTACGCATGCGGTTCGCAGCTGGGAGGAGTACGCTGCCAAGGGTCACAGCGATGGAAACCAGGCCCGGGATCGGGACTTGGATGAGATCTCCAAGCCTGATGACGAGAAGTCGGGAGTTAACTGGGAACACTGGGAGAATGAGGAAGACAGCTGTGAAATGGATACTGGTGAGTTCTCTTGATTTGGGCTTTGCCTACGTGGTACTAACTATCAAAGTCTATCAACTTGCTGCCTATCTTCCTCCGTCGCTGGTTAGCTTCCTCGAAGGCCAGTTTATTGCCTTCCGAGGCTTCTTGGAAAAGAACGGCTTCCTATCCAAGAAGACCGAGGAGTCCGGCCCCGAATCGCAGGCCGTGCAGGAGGCGCGCGAGGCACTTAAGGCAGAAGAAAAGAGCCTTGGAGAGACCCGAAAACAACTACGAAACAGGCGAGAAGACCTGGAAATTAACTATGGTCCGGCATCCGTTTTCCGGGCGCTCAAGGGCGTATGCATCATCCGTGACGCCGGCGAGTACACCTACGAGCAGTGCTTCCTGGATCAGACGAAGCAGAACTCGAAGAAGGGCGGCGGGTCGATGCGGATGGGCAACTTCCAACGCATTGGCAGCACCACCATCGAAGAAGTCAACGAGGCTGGCGAGATTGTGACCGTGGAGCGGACGACGTTGGAGTACGCACGTGGCCAGACGTGCTGGAACGGACCGGCACGGTCGACCAAGGTGGTTCTGGGGTGTGGAGAGAACAATGAGATTTTGAAGGTGAGCGAGGATGAGAGATGCGTGTACTCGATGATTGTCACTACGCCGGCCGTCTGCGCCGGAGGTGAGGAAGAGGGCGCGGCCCCAAGGGTCAAGGATGAGCTGTAGCAGCAACACCAACTCAGATTAGTGTTTACCACTCTTTAGCAATGTTCTTCGTGAAATTAGCATAACACGAGCTACGACTACAATTGGACAATAAGTTTCCAAAATGGATATGTGTTCAAATATAAACGTGCATTGCAATCCTAGTCACCATAGTCATAGTCCACCGCCGGAAATTGCACTCGGAGACGATGGAACGGGTCGGAATCGGAACGGTCCGCTTTGGTGCTATTCACGAGGGAGTGGATATTGGGCACATTTAGTGCTGCTTGTTATTAGCATTCATTCAAGAACGAGAAGATAGAGAAGAGAAGGCATACCTTGCACGAGCCGCAAGAGCAAGAGTTGCAGTTGCCGGAGCAGCAGTTGCACGAGCAGGGAGACATTGTAAAAGTTGGTAGTGGTTTGACTGAAAAGTCTTGAAAAGATTTGAAAGGCTTGTAGTAGATTGAGAGGATTCGAGCTGATGGAGAGAAAAGAAAGAGAACGAAGGAAGGGAATCGAGGACGTTTATATACCTTTTTTCTCCCGGTCTACATTCGGGTGTACTGGCCCTGGCCATCTGATGACGCCCCCATCCATCCACAGCAGAAATGACGCTTTGTTCCCTGCTCGCCCAGCCAATGTAAATCCCCGATATGGATGTTTTCTTTTCTATACAAGACAAGGCAACCGCCGAAGCCAAAGTTTCTTGTTTCGGGTGGTGCTCATTGCCCGCTTCACTTTGCCGGGTGGCTTCACTGGCTTCTGTCCGATGCAGGTGGTGCCATGGATGGATTCATTCGTTGAAAGAGTTTGTTATCATGCCACTCCCTTCTCTTATTCTTTCTATTATCGTTACTACTGTACTTGTACAGAGTGTTGGGCCTGGGAATGATTTCATGCATATGCATGTCACTAGCCCCCGATACTATCGCCGATACGGGCACTCTGTCTATACTACTGTATTTACCACGACTACGCCGCAGGTCCACTTCGGAAACGATGCCTATATTATATGGAATATACATAGAAACCAGATAACTCCTACGCCGCACATACGGAACACCACAGCGAATACGGAGTACAGTGCTCAGTCCAATCTGAGTCGGACGGAGCAAAGCACTCGCACAGACCTGAATCCGGCCATGATTATGACCTGCAAAGAAAGTATCTACCACGATACGATTTGTATTAGTATTACTTGTTGTGGGGAACACTGACTACGGAGACGAGACCAGCCTGGATTCTAATAAAAGGAGAGTGATTGGCACGGCGCAAAAAAGGCGCAAATGTTACTATTATGGATTATGGATGGATACCCGCGCAAGCCGAGGAAATGAGGAAAAGTTTTCTTGTCGATCGGAGTCAGAGAGAGGGCGAAAGGGAAGAAAATCTTACTGGGAGGCAGGCTGGTTACGGTCTTCTCCGATTTACGCAATGGGAAAATAGCATTTTTGTAAGTGGGATGTGCCGGTATGCAGTCAGTGTTCAAAACAGTAGAGATGGATTCTAGGAGATACGAGGACTCATAGAGCATAGAACACATACAAAATAGGTATATTCAATACAGACAATTGTCAAATGCAAAGATCTCCCTGATTCCCCCAAGGTACTAGGAACCGAACAATATGTCCAACCAGATGACCATATCACGGACTACCTTGGAAGACACATGAGCCTATACAGAGTTCACACATGGATGGTTTACGTGCAAGATGTGCAGTGGATTCCTAGTCTATGTATATCATTGGCATACAACCAAGTCATTCGTTCAACCTTCTCCACGCAACACCACTTCACAAGTCATTCCCAGCTAACACGATAACTGAGGGCTTTTTGCTTATTTCTACAAACTCAAGTCAGCCGAGTTCATTTTCATACGCAGAGTCCCGTGGGATGCTACTCACGGGGCACTGGCAAGCGCCGGCAGGGCACTGGCACGAGGCACCGCAGCTGCAAGTGTGGTCGGAACCTGGAATGCTTCGTCAGTACAGGCACAGATACAGATAACACAAAGCAAGTGGCTCAAAGGGATAGATGCGATATCCTGGACAATAGCGAGAGTGCTATTCAGCATCGACATGGGTGATGCTGATGCTGACCCCGCGCGTCCATACATTACCCCGCCATCGCTTCGACAGAATACAAGGCAAACAAACAAAGCATAAAAAATCCTACTTACCCATGATGATTGATAGATAAAGTTATTTGATGAAAATCAACGAGAAATCAGATGGACAGATGGAAGTTGATGAGGAGGATAAAGAAGAATCTGAACGATGCGGGACAGATGCGGCATTTATACCCGTCGCAGGTAAATGGCTTTGGCCTCAGGCAGAACTCGTTACATCTCGACGCAGAGCACTGAACACAGCGTAGTATTGTCCTCGATACTTTGAACTGATCATCTTCACTTCTGGCTTGTCTGTCCTACGCTGACTTCACTGTGCCGGGTGCTTCATGTGGAGCATCCAATGACAGTACACCATACGTATCTCGGTGCCTCTTGAGTTGCACATAAGACAGGCAATAGCCCTGCAGCTGAGGTGTCTTGGATCCTTTACAGTTTAACACGTATATATACATGAGTAACTAATTGGCAGAAGCTGCATAGCTCTGTTGACATATGACAACACAACTTGTGAACTGATGATCTAATTGAACGGAAAAGAAAGCCAGGGTTATCCCAGAGTTACAAAAGCAATCATGGGTTCTCTGTGGCAGAGTATGCATTGCAGCTGCAACTCAACTGACAATAAACGTGTCAATCCATAGTGGCTTGACTTGGAACGCTGTTGAAGGCGAAGTTAGTAGCCTCGTATCAGCTTGACTCACTCTGAGCTCGTTTAGCATGAATCAATTTGTCTTCGAATCGTTGTTTTATTGTGAAGAGACAGTCAGACACGAACGAGGCTCAATTTAAAAGATGAAAGACAACTCAGCTTACCTCTCTTCTTTTTCTTTTCTGATGCGATTCTGTATCCTCTTCGCTCCTGTAGATAACTAACCATACATCGCATTCTAATGCCTCGTATCGCATAACTTTTGTCCGCATCAGAGACCAGAGGCCACTAATTTGATGCCGGACAAGGTCAAGTCGAAGTCATTCATGTTCCTGAAAGACATGCCTTAAATCCGTAAATCTCTTGGTAAGATAGTTATAGATAGTTAGAAGATGTGGTCTTAGCGCCTCGAAGATATATATTCGGCAATCGGATGCCTTGATATATGTCAATTAACTAGAAAACTAACATACTGCTTTCAATGCTACGCATACCAGCACTTCATAGCATGAAATATCTCATCTCTATCAATATCTGAGCTGAATTCACATGTACATAATAGTGAAGACACCTTTGGCAGCGCACACACGTGACAAACCCTATGCTCACCGCCTTCCCGATCATCCGCGAAATTTTACTGTAGCTTCCTATAATCTTCCTGCATCTTGCCGTCGACTACTCTTTGCGTTCATTCCTACGATTTTCTTTTTACACATCTAGAACTGTAGCCCCGCGCTACGATGCCGCCCGCATTTGAATTTCAAGGCAATCGCGGTGGCGATCGACGCCACAACCCCAGACACAACTTCACGTTTCGCTATGCGCGTCCTCACATCTCCGAACGGCCGCTTCTCAGATCGACACGAGAAACTACCCCAGAACCCCTCGTGTCCGCTGGCCAAACAGGGGAGCAGAAACCGGCCATGAAGTTCGCGCCGTTAGCTGACCTCAGCGACAGCGAAGAGGAAGACATGGATGTTTCCGACGACGACGCATCGCATCCTCGCAAAAAACGCGCGCTCGAGAACGGCGACATGGTTCCGGCTCCGGCTCCGGCTCCGGCCCCGCCTGCTCCAAAGTGGTCCAACCCGGACCCGTATACAGCCTTGCCCCCGCCCGATGAGAGTCAATCGAAGAAAGTCGATGTGGTCAAGTTGATTCGGAAATCTCGCGCGGCGGCGAGCGCGGCGGATTCGCAGGCGACCCAAGCGGACACGGCGGTCACGACTAATGAAGATTTTATCTCGTTAGGTGATTTGCCTGGTGGCAATGACGACGAAGAGGACGAGGACGATGAGGTTGGGAATCCCAACGCTCCAGATAATGCACCCAGGGGACCTAGGGCAGGCGACTTTGCATTTGGTCGGAAGAGAACTTACGACGACGAGTTAAAAGGGCATTCTAAAAAGACGGGAAAGCCAATCAGCCGGTATTATCCGGACGCCTCTGTTCTCGATGAATGGAGGGTTCGTCAATCGCAGTCGGGAACTCCTTGGCTTACTCTCATGCCGCCTACATTACACCCTGGCACAAGACTGCACAATGAAATTGTGAGCTTCTTCCATTGGGTCAAACCTAATTCCTTCGAACAAGTCGTCCGAGAAGATCTGGTACTGAGGCTGCAATCCGCGTTCTCGCGGCGATACTATGGTGTCCAAATCCGTGCCTTTGGCTCCTTTGCTTCTGGAATGTATCTTCCTACTGCAGATATCGATTTGGTCTTACTCTCAAGTAACTTCATCCGCACAGGCGTCAAGACCTTCGGAGAGCGGAAAGGCCAGATCTATGCATACTCCGCATTCCTCCGCTCTACAGAAATCGCTGTTCCCGGCTCGATTGAGACTATTGCTCATGCGCGAGTCCCGATTTTGAAATTCGTGGACAAGTTGACTGGTCTCAGAGTTGATCTGTCGTTTGACAACGACAGTGGTCTTATTGCCAACCGTACATTCCAACAATGGAGGTCTGAGTATCCTGCCATGCTGCCTATCGTCTCGATTATCAAGCAGTTTTTGCTCCTGCGCGGTCTCAATGAAGTCGCGACTGGCGGCTTGGGTGGATTATCCATTACTTGTCTTGTTACTAGTCTTCTACAACACCTGCCGCATGGACATCTTGAGCCAAACCTAGGCAGCGTTCTTATGGATTTTTTCGACTTCTACGGCAATAATCTGGATTATGAGAAAGTTGGGATACGACTCAATCCGCCCGGCTATTTCAACAAGGTAGGTTTCGATCCAAGGAATAAGGTATAGGACTGTATTAACGAAAGCAGAGAGTCTACAATGACAATCGCCGCCTTACAATTGAAGACCCCAATAATGCTAGCAATGACATCTCAGGTGGTACTAGGGAAATCGCGTTGATCTTCCAATCCTTCTCTGATGCATACCGGAAGCTCAAAGAACGGATGATTTCAACCTCGATGGGACAGTCCACCCGTACCAGCATTTTGGACACTATCATCGCCGCGGACTACGACGAGTATACGGAGCAAAGATGGCAGCTGCGTCAAGTTTTCGATAACGACCCTCGGTTCGAGCGTTTTCAGTCACTTACGCCTCCGCCACCACCTCCGGGTCCTCCACCGACTGACCCTGCTTCGCCGCCGCCGCCGCCGCCGCCTTCCCGTCCATCAGTCAACTTAAGATCATCACAGCCTCCTCCACCTCCACCTCCGTCGGAAAAGCTGACTAAAGCGCAACGGAGGCATAATGCAGGCAAAGATCGCGCTACTCGGTTAAGGCGACTGCGTCCGGATATACGTTCTATTCCCGATTCTATCAGCAATGACCAAGCGATGAAACTTGGCAGTTACAAGTCACAGAGTGGCATGGATAGAGACTTGATGATCCGAGAGAAGGCTTTAAACCTGAAAGGGTCATGAAATAGTCTTCTGGAAAGAAAAGCTGGGTAGCCTTTCTTTATTTCCTTGCCTTTAATATGCTATTGCATGATCGATGATTGTACCATCGTGCTGCCTCATTTATTTCCTTACTATCCTCATTCTGTCTTGATATGCGATACCCATTCACATGTATTATGTGGTTTGCCGTTTTTGTATCCTTCAAAAGTTATAGAGGCGGAGTGGTATTCTTTTTTTTTTTTTTTTTTTTTTTTTTTTTTCTTGTTCACATTTATACTCGTCAGATTCTGGCTGCGAGTATGAATCATTTGCAGCATCTTTGGCTGAGCTTATTTTAGGGACGGCTTATATTTAGTTCCAAGCGCAGGGCGTCACGGCGTCTTTTATGCTTTCGAATTGCAGGCTCAGACCTGACTTTCCATATCTATTCCCCCTCCATGTTGCCTGACTAGCTAACACCAGTCAGCTAGTTGAGAGGAACATTTTATTAACTAGAAGAGAATGAGAAGCCCGAACACGGACTCACCAGAGACAGCTCAGAAGAAAAATGATTACCTTTTCATCTTCTCATCAAGGGGGGCGCTAGACGCGGTCGCTTGGAGAGGAGTGTTTCATTTCTTCTGGGTTGTGTCAAGACAGAGCTCTGTTGAATGGTTTATAGGGCTTGGACCATGGCTTTTTGCACGTTGGGAGTTGTGTTGAGATGTGGTGCAGAATGACATCATTGCATCGAAACTACAGAACACACTTCAACTAAATTGATACCATGATCCTATTAACATACAGCGACACACAATGCCAACCGCAATGCCACAATACTACAAAAGCACCCTCCAACCACTCCAAATCAATCAACCCGCCCTCCAGCAGACCCTGAAAGAACTCCAGCGCACAGTAATCCAGAGCACCAAAGTACTACAAGCTGGTTCACCAGCCCCGGTGAGCCCTTCAGATCACAGTAGTATCTATAGTGGGACAGCAGGTGCGCATTGCACATTTACACCTTTGAATACGATGATTGACAAGGCTATAGGCATCGTATTGGCATTCCTCCGACTAGAGCGCCAAAAAGACGTCCTCGGGGAGACGAAACTTCCTGATTTTGGCAGCCTTGCGAATGAAAGGATTATCCCTGCTGGCGATGTGAAACTTCCTCCCCCGGGATACATGTCACCCGTGGGATCTTCATTAGGGCCACTTGTCGTGCGAGTTCTGGCAGCTCTTGAATATCCGGGCCAGTCGGCTTCGCAGAATGACATCAAACTGTTGAATACCGCATTGCAGCGCTCGCTTAGCCATGGCCATGTGGTTTCGAGTTCATCGGGTGATCATATCCGGGGTGTTGATGAAGTTCTCTATGGGCGTGCGGGGTTGCTTTGGGCTGTTGTGAATATTCGATATCATCGTCGTGCGTTTGATAAAGAGATGAAGGCGAATACGGAACCCCTCTTTGATGCGCTTCCGAGGCTTGTTGAGGCGATTATTGATGGCGGAAGACGAGGTGCGAGGGATTATGTTAAGAACTATGGGGAAAAGGACGCGTTGCCGTTAATGTGGGCGTATAAGGATAAGAAGTATTCTCTGGGGGCGTAAGTCTTTCTCCCCTTCTTCTATAGAGTTACAAAAAGATATTGACTGAAGACAGTGTCCATGGAATCGGTTAGTATACGAACCCAATTTCTATTGACATAACTACTGACAAACGCAGCCGGCATCATCACAATCCTCCTCTCATGCGAAACCGAAGAAATAAACCCCTACCTCCCGCTAATAACAGAAACAATAACCGGTCTCTGCCGCATTTCCATCGCCAATGATGGCCATCTCCCGAGTTCTATCCCCTCCCGCTCCAGGTCTCGGGGATCTCTCCTTGTCCAGATCTGCCACGGAGCACCGGGGCTTTTGAATCTACTCGCAACAGCCAGGAAGAATATCCATTTACGAACACATTGGAAGTCTGAATGGGACGAGGCTATGCATCTCGGTGCAGAGAGAGTCTGGCAGGAAGGTCTCCTATCTAAAGGCGGTAGTCTATGCCACGGACTTACGGGGAATGCACTGTCTTTGCTAGCCCTACACGAGTCCTTCGAGCTCGAGTTTGAATCTGAAGAAGGAAACGAAGAGAGTGACTACTTTCTCTCCAGAGCACTAGCACTATTACTCCTAGCGCGCGAAACACCGCCATACAGCACAGCCCTGGATATCCCGTCTGGATATGACTTCCGCATGCCGGATAGACCCTATAGTCTTTACGAAGGACTAGCCGGGGAGCTGTGCGCTTGGGCTGAGGCTTGTGTGGTGATACAGGCGAGGCTTTGTAAAGAGGCAGGGCAGACGGAGAACCAGGAGATTAAGGAAAAGGCATTGGGGTTTCCGTGTCTGGGAGGGAATGGGGTGAGAAGGGTTATGTGATTGTATTTGGTTATCTGTGTGGAATGAGTGACTGATGTATATGAAAATATTGGATAATAACATAAAAGAAGTGCTAGGGCACAATGCATATTTAACAGATAGGATGGTCTTCTCTGGCCGGTAGATAGTAGGTCTCGACAAGATCCAACCTCTTGTCCTGCCGATCTGATTGGTAAAACAGACAGTCGAGTCGATCGTGGTTGGCTTGCGCAGTATAGGTTCTAAGTGTTTCGTCATGTAGCGTTGTAGACAGGACGTATATAAGCCTTGCTCGAAACAGTTTCTTCTCCGTATGAGCGGACTGCTTGGGGCGCTTGACGCTATAACGGCCATCAACCCGTCAGGCCCCTTGGTTTTTGATGGAAACCGGTGGATGGTCAGCGTTTAAAATGTTGCAAATGAACACCCTGCCCCGGAAACTCCTGATTATCCTTTCTTCTCCTTTCAGAAAGAGAGCGACAAGGATGGGCCCCAAGTTGCGTATATTGTTGGCATACGTTGAGTCCCATGGCCCATATCTGTGCATTTCCAGGAATGGGAGCTTGCTGTCGATACCTCTTGTTAAGTGGTAGGATAGCCGGTGTTTCACGTGGGACAAACCTTTCCAGGCCTCAGCTTGGATGCGGTTTCTCTTCTTCACGATGGTTATTTCTGAGAACGTCCCATCTTGCATAATGATCAAGGTAGTTATCCTTGAGTATCGCCTCCGTGACATAATTAGGTGGCTATTTTGTGCTATTTGTAGGTTACTATCATTCATCAAGTCAGCTCGAGTTCTCGTTGAAGCAAAAACAAGAAGAACCCCCCCCCCCCCCCCCCCCAAGATTAAAGGAGCCAACGGACATACTTCTTGCTGATTTGGGCTCTTTCCTTGGATTTTCCGTGCCATGATCCAAATTGGCGCATTTAATGTGCGATGCGACTTTCATTAATGATACCTGTCTTGAGATTACTGTGTTCTAACATATAGGTTCTAGGTCCTATTGATATCACTATATGGCCTATACCCCCGCATCATCGAAGCCTACTTCGACGGCAATGAACTGATCATACGCCGTACGAAGGCTTATGATTTCAGTTATATGAACTCTGAGGGATTCAGGACTTTTGCGCAGTGGAGTTTGGCGCAGGCCAATGGTGATACTTCTAAGGATGGTCTTGTTAATGTTGCTTTTGGGGGGTTATCGGTGGCTTGATCACTTTTCTGAGGTTTTGCTGGGGAATTGATGACTGGGTCTCTTGCTCAAATTGGATCCATGCTGAAGTTTGTGTGCATGTAAGTAGGGCTATGCATCTTAATGGTATACACGCTTCTACCTTAGGGTTGTTTGAAATGAGCTGCTGAAACGAAGTTCAAGTGTACTGTTTTGTCGTATTGAGAAACCTAGCTTATTAATAGATATGATGATTCATTAATACAAAACTAAGGTATAAAAACGCCAAACCAAATAGTCTACTAGAAGCCATCGTTGTTGAAAACGAGTCAACTCAACCCCATATTCATCTCATCACTTAATCCCAATTCCCTCTCAACCCTCTCGGTGCCACCGGTAGCTCGCGTGCCCCAACGATCAAGACGATCCTGCGCGTTGACAATCTCCCTGTCACGGACACTGCGGATATCACTAATACTCCCGTGTGTATTCCCTTCGCGACCCAAACTGCTATGACTTGAATGGCTCGACGGTTTGTGAGAACGAGACGATGATGGTGATGACTTAATGTTAATTGGCCTGGAGCCGGAGGGACTGTTATTGGTGGCAGATGTTATTTTTTGGTTTGTAACGGAAGAGGGATTGGTGGTGGATATAGAGGTGGAGGAGGATGCCGCTCCAGTAGGGGTACTGTAGCTGGATCTGTCGCTTACACTCTTCGAACTCCCGAACCAACGTCTGCGTCGTGCTTTGAACGAAGTCGATTGGGAGGTGCTCTTGGCATCTTCATCATCGGCGGCATTCTGTTCGTTTTGCAATGCTTGGGTTAAGGTGGACGTGGATTCTGCCATGTCTTCGGGGGGTGGGGTTTCGACGAGTTCGGCGTCACGGTACCACTTTCTTCGGCGGGTATATCGATCCCATCCATCTTGGCCCCGACGGCCTTCGTTCCACTATTTCAGTTCGTTAGATTTCAAAACAGGAGACTCCGAAGAAAGGCAACCGACCTTGTTATCGTAATATATCCATCCCCCACCATCTGACGACTTAGAATCCGCCTTGTCACTGGACTCTTCAGCACCTTCTATCCGCCACTCACTGCTTTCCACCCAGCGCCATTCAGCATTGCCGCTGTGCACATCCGGCAGTTCAAACTCGTCTCTTGGCGGGACGCTGTTGAGATGCTCATCTGTCCATGCCGTCCGCTCAGACGGGAACAAGGAATACGTCCATCCTATTCCAAGCCAACGGCGCTGGTTCTCATAGATGACAAAAGTGAAGCGAATACCTGACGACTCCGGATTGCGTTTGATTGTCATGTCCTTAGCAGGGCCGCGAGTCACGCTTCTGATCGACTGGGACTTGTCGATCTCTGAGGAAAACTGGAGACCAGTAATCATTGAACAAATCCGCCGGACAAAGAGAGATCTCCACAGGATAACCCGGGCGACTCGTGCCGGTCGGCAGTGATATGTAAGAAAAGAGGTGCCCACCAGCATGACGACACGGCGGGTGGTGAGCAGGTAGAACGGAGGGAGGGTCAAGAGGATCCATATCGGGGTGACAAAGAGGATGCGGAAGAATAGAGCAGTCAGGGCTGGTTTGGTGGTAGAGGAAGTGGCCGTCCGCTGGGTGGAGAGGAAATCGGTCAAATCGAGTAGAGGTTCGAGGAGGATATTACACCGGGTGGTGAAGGTACGCAAGGTTTCGACGATTTCGTCTAAGCTGGTATGGTGTCGAGCTGTCCCGCCGTCTGCTGCTGCCTTCTGATAGTCCGTAGAATTGGGCTTTTGATCAAACCACGAGCGGGAGGATAGCGGAGAATAGCGACGCCAGTACATTCCCAGGATCAACCCGATCACAACGAGAATCGGACCGGCCCAGTGAATAACGGCATCGCCATACATAACCACCGCCCAGAAGGCTGCGACGAGCAGGAAACTCTCCCATGGATCACCCGAGGTCCATGTCAACAGGCCAGCCAACTTATTCAACGGCAGAATGAACGGGTGCGAATAGGCTAAGGCTCGCGTGACGGCGGGGGGAGTAGCGACCAGCAACGGCGACTTGCGATGGACAATGACACTGGAGCGCTGTCTCGAGGTCAAAGACGAACCGGCGATGGTGGTGGGCGAGAAAGCGGCGACGGTCGGCTGCTGGCTATCCAGCTGCACGCCATGATCTTGCGCGTACGAAGAGGACGCCATGGAATCTATCCACGGAAAATCGTCTGGCATGGCATCATCAGCATGGAAAGGACTGTGAAAAGCAGAATTCCAGAGAGAAGACGAAGTGGCTGTAGAAACAACAGTCGTGGCTGAAGAAGACGAAGAACGATGCTGAGGCCTCATAGTAGCAGAACTAGTGATAGTAGTAGACCTACCGAAGGCTGCCATCCAACAGAGACGTCATACGTCAGTGTCATTCTGCAATTCAGAGCAAAAGAGAGAGAGAGAGGGCGAGGAGAAATAGGTTAGAGAGAGAAGCGAGAAAAAAGAGAAATTAGCACAATAATTTAACCTGTCTCGTTCTATCGCACTTTGCTGCTTCTCGGTCTTGAGCGCGGGGGAGCATGTGACTCGGTAATACGGTACAGATACATACATAGTACAGAGATCTTTATTATGTAGAAGTACAGAGATCTTTACTATGTAGAAGTACAGAGAATTATATAGAGAATAACTGAAATATCTCTCTCTACTACATTATCTTCTATTCCCATTATATCATTTCCTAATTGGTATTCTGGGGCGACATCGCTGACCGGCTTCGCTGCCGAATTTTTCCGCTTTCAACTTCTCCGGCGGAAGATCTCTCGCTTTACACCTCCGGTTGCATTCTGTCTGTTGTGAGAACAGTTCATTGTTATAAACCCTCAGAATGGTGAGTAATTCCTTTTATATTCTAATATTTTGGCTAGAAACTGACCAAATAGGCCCACCGTATCGTCGGCCAGGTCCTCGTCACCGGCGCTCGAGTCTTCGGTCGAGCCTTCGGAGAGGCATACAAACAAGCCCAAGCCTCCTCCAAATATGCCGCTGAAGCTTCCAAAGGCAACATGGGCGCCGCAAACACCTTCGCATCCGGCGGTTTGTCTCTCGATGAGGCCTGCAGGATCCTCAACACCAAGCCCCCGCAAGGCGGCAAAGCGGAACTCGATCAAGTCATGGAACGATTCAAGAAGCTGTTCGACATGAATAATCCCGAGAAAGGAGGCAGTTTCTACATTCAGAGCAAGATTCTTCGCGCACGCGAACGGATAGAGATGGAGGTTCGACAGGCAGAACGACAGGCGGCACATGAGAAGGAACTGAAGGATGGGTGGAAACCCAAGGTGTACAAGGACCGGTGATCTCTCGTCTACTTTTTTCGAACCGGTTCTCAACGAACAAGCTTGAACGCGTGTCTGGCCCTGCGTCGTCTCCCGCCACGAGATAAAATCAGAAAAAAAAAGTGCCGCCCCTCGGTTTTCGCAGCATAGCATGGCGTTTGTGGTATTACTCGAATTTCTATACTCTCGCACTCTCGCGCCTCTCGCATGAAAGTGCCTCACGTCGGAATGGATTTGACTGGAGTTGATCGGACCCGATTCTATCGTTCTAGTTCGAGGGGATTTGTACAGTATACTGGGGAGTGTGAAGGATTGATATTTCTCTTTTGGTTTTGCTTCGCTTGGATTATGAGCAACTCTTCTCCACTCTTCCTCTCTAACTCCCCAGAAGGATGTTATGTATTATAAATACTATGTATGTGTGATGTCTGATTGATTTAGTTATGTATAGAGATGTTTTGCCAGGATCAGTAATCAATTGTAGACTAAAAAGCAATACTCATTCACCCGTAACTCTACAGTCCAAGTGAATAGGTGTCAATCAATTGGTTCTTAGATCTGACAAGGGAGGGACAAAAAAAAAAAAAAAAAATCCATATAAACGGAACGCCCCGCTTCAATCCCTCTACAATTCCTTTTCAAACCTCTGGATCTCCGATTTTGACCTTTCTCTCTTCAATTTACCAATCCAGGCAATCTTCAATCCCACCATAGCAACAGAGCACCGCAAAATGGGCCGCCCCTCAGTACCACTATCCGCCCAGCTCCCCCCGCTGGTGATGGGCACCGCAACCTTCAACACCCAATTCAACCACGACCCCTACGCCCTCCCCACAACCGAACTCGTCCATCGCGCTCTCGCCAGCGGCGTCTGCGCCTTCGATACCTCCCCCTACTACGGCCCCGCCGAAGAACTCCTAGGCCGCGCCCTGGCAACCGACTACGTCCGCGCAAACCACCCCCGCGAATCCTACAGAATCCTAACCAAAGTCGGTCGCGAGTACTCCTCTTCTTTTGACTACTCGCCGGAATGGGTGCGCGTTAGTATCAAGCGCAGTCTTCAGCGTCTGCATACGGAATACTTGGATTTGGTGTACTGTCATGATGTCGAGTTCGTGAGGCCCGCAGAGGTCTTGCAGGCTGTGCGGGAACTGCGGCGCATTCGCGATGAGGAGGGTACTATTCGCTACGTGGGGATTTCGGGATACCCGATCGATGTCTTGTCTAAATTGGCGGAGATGATCCTACGCGAGACAGGCGAGCCGCTCGATGCGGTCATGTCCTATGCGCACTTCACGCTGCAGAATACCTCCCTTTTAACCCGGGCACTGCCGCGCTTACTCGAGGCTGGGGTGGATGTCGTCCCCAACGCCTCGCCGCTTGGTATGGGACTGCTGCGACGGCAGGGCGTCCCCATCGGGAGTCAAGGCGATTTCCACCCGTCCCCAGCGGGGTTGCGGGGTGCCATTCAGAAGGCGGCGGAATGGGCTGATTCGCAGGGAGAACGGATCGAGGTTGTTGCGATTCGGTATGCGCTGGAGAGATGGCTTCGCGAGGCAACCCAGGTTGGTGCATCGGGACCGCCACCGCTTGTGCCTTCTGCTGGTATCGAGGAAGTGTCCAGCAATGGCGGAAACAAGCCCGTGCACGGACGTCTTGGTGTCAGCGTCATGGGCGTGAGTAATATCGAGGAATTGAACGAGACCTTGCGCGTCTGGCACAGTATCCTCGAGGGGTTGGATACTGCACCTGCACCTGCATCTGATGATGCAAACTGGTCCCGCGCGCGTCGACAACAAATCCTCACTCTCGCGCAGGGCATCCAGTCCATTATTGGCTCGGAATGGGTGGATTATGTCTGGGAAAGTCCGGGACCGGGGTTTGTGAATACCCTGCCCGAGAAGCATCTCGAGGCGTTGCGGAAGGCTAGAGCTGAGTCTGGATAGATGAGGGTCAAGTGATTATGCATTACGATAAAGGATATAATAGATACAAGCTCTAGATTAGATTTGGATTAGATGGTTAAACCATCTTGGACATAGTGCATAGTGCAATATCTCTCTTGCTAATATAGCAAATACCTTTCTGCCTTCTAGAGGATAAATACTGCAATTGTTCATTCAATACTCCTCAAGAAGATGAACCCAAACTAATACAACCAACCCTACCTCTCGGTATCACAGCATCCACTATCCCGGTAACAAAGAACGATATGCGTGCAAACCCAATGCAACCACGTTGGCCAATGATATTGAGCCTAAGGGGTTTCTACTGGGCATACAGTCTTATACCAAACAACACCCATCTCAAATTGCATTCAATTTCCCTCGCACTAATGGCTCCAGAACACCTCCCAGAGCCCAAAGAGCGCCAGAGCCTTCGCAGAGAAATACTTTCTATCAGAAAAGCCATCCGGAGCATGGAGAATGATCACCTCTTCGATGTCGATACGCTCCAGAACCACAATATTCGAGTATTACCTCTTGGCTTAGAAGGTGATGGGTCTCTTAGGCCTAACTCTTTACGCCATATTCCCGTGAAAACTTCATAGAGCCCACAGACAAAGTCGTGGGGGGTGATACATCCAAGAAGAATTTTGGTCATCTTGGTTCTGAGAGGTTGTCGATGTCTAAATTGAGTGGTGGTGGGTATGTCCTCATAGATACTCGTTGATCATACAAAGGCTCTTCTGAGAATAGACAATACAATTAATGGACTGAATATTGTATACCCAACCCTACGCCAAAATAACATCCCACTTCAGCCCCTCCAACACATCCAACCAGTGCCTCCTCTCCCCGTTTTCACTCCAAAGAACATTCAATATCTCTTTCGCCCTCCTGACATTTCCAATCCCAAAGTTTCTCTCTAACGCCCCCAGCGCCCCCAGAACAAGGTCCCTCTCTGCTGTAGTCTGACACTCACACCCCGCAATGAACAGCGGGAACGTTAATGCTGAGTACTCACAATACTCTGGATCGAGGTGGAAGGTCTCGATGCGGGATAGACAGCGCTGCAGGGCTTCTTGTTTAGATATCGAAATGGGATATAAGGAGGGTTGACAGGAGGGTATGCGCTCGAGAATGGAATGGAGATAGATATATGCTGCATCGCGAAAACATTCTGCGACCATTTGTAGACGAAGTAGGACAGAAGGTGTTAATCCCTGCGGGATTATGTATTGGTTTGTTGGTGTTGTGGGTGACCAGGTTTGGAGGGAGGTATCACTTTCTTGTAAGCTGCATGCTTGAAATAGTAGGAGCGTGGATAGGCTTACATTTCGTTCACTTCTGCTTGCAGAGATAAAGGATCTAAAGAGGGGATATCGGAGGCTCTAACGCAGAGCTTAAGTATATCCTCTGTATAGCCGATGTAAATGTCGAGTTTCCTAATCCGCACACTGTCAACCTCCGGCATGACTCCCGTGATATGCCGTCGGTTGGTGAGTTTGGCCACATTATGCGCGTATGTGAAGCTGCCGACGTTAGTTTTTGTTCATCTTACTCCGGTATGCCTGGGGATAAACGTACAACCCACACAAAAACTCCGCCGTATCCCGATCTAAAGCGGCATACCCACCTTTCGAAATAACCAACCTCTGCAACGCCCCCAAATGCACCGCCCACTGCCTCACGCTCCCACGCACAATCTCATACTTGCAAAGAAGCCCAACAGCCAGAACCACTTCATCCGAAACTCCTCCGCCAGGATCCTCGGCTAACGCCATTCGTATCCCTTTCATAGTCTGGATGTAGTACTTCGTCGCTGCTGTTTGCGCATCAATGCCGACACCGAAGCTGTCAAAAGAGCGATTGGAAAAATGCATCGCAGACAATGCGCACATAGCGTTCATTAGGAGTGGTGAGGATAGTGCGCGCGGGATTATGAGGGAGCGAAGGGGGTTTTCAGTGGTTTCGAGGTTGGCGAGGAGTTTGGAACCTTGTTCGACATGGTATTGAAGGTAGTGGGTTTCGAGGGGGGTAAGGTGGGTGAAATAGAAGCTGGGTTGGGGGGATGCATAGGGGCTAGTGTATCCAGGCTGACTGCTTTCTTCGCTCAGGGAGTAACTTTCTAAAGAAAGATTGTCATCGAAGTCCACTGGCGCAGGCGAAGTAGTCGATGATGCCAAACTTCCCTCCGAAACCCCATCCGAGCTGTATGGCGAAGACGAACTAATCCTCCGTCGTTTCTGCCCTTCCGGCTGAAACACTTGCGCAAATGGATCCAAAGGTTCTGCCCACATAGATCCATATCCTTCACATGTTTTTCCCAATCTGGTGCAGTTATGGCAGCTATCAATGTCAGCCCTACCCCGGATATTATAGATCTATCTAGATCTATGCGATATAGATAGTGGCTATACCCACCTCGGTTTAGCCTCATCGCATCGCTTCCGGCGCTTCTTGCATGTCAAACAGCCTGATCGAGACCATCTCCCGCCTTCTCGTCTGTATTTCTTTTTCGTTGATGCGGCATGATCCGGGGCCGAGGTTGTAGTACCGATTCGATTCATACTGCGGAGTGGTTTTTCAGCCACATCATCTATCCTTATCGCCAGTGGAGCTCCTAGATGATCGAGACGAGGGGTTGGAATGCATCCCTGGGCAGTGGTTTGTGTAACGCATGCATCCAAACCAGGCGAAAATTGATGCCGTTGAAAGTCACGAGGGGAGAAGAGGCGCTAATCCTTTTACAGCAAGAGATGCGCCGTTATCTTATCTTATCTGTCCCCGGCTTTTGCGGAGGGACTTCGGACTACGGAGGTCATTAAGACAACTCCTTGGCCTTGGTAATAGAGGCAGCACTGATTGTTGTCTTTGGTCTTGGGTAATCAGGCCGGTACTTAACACTGAGTGTGAACTAATGGTAGTGCCGTAGTGCTTGGATCTGAGGTCTGCATATCGAGCATTCCCACGGCCCTTTGACTAGTTAACAGGAAAGAACCCCAGTCCTACCCCAGTGACTGAATGAACATCCGCGCCAATCCAAGCGCCGCTTGCTCTCGGGCCCGGAATTCCTGGCTGTACTTACTCTTTCTTTTCACTGTGATATGGCTCCGATGGACGCCGGACGCGGTCGACCCGCTCCGCTCGTTTACCCAAAATGGCAGGTCCATCCAGAAGGCCGATATGCTCTGATATACTGCATGGCATGGGGGTGCAGTGCAAGGTATTTAAGTAGCTAACTGTCCTGCTCAATTGAACAATCTTTTGAATCTTGATTATCATCTCTCTCACAAAGGTTCACCCTTGACCCAATATATATCTTGTCCCTATACAATGCCTTCAACAAACCTTCATCCCTTCGACCCGATCACCCCCGGGGAGATTCAGCTAGCTGTTCGAGTTTTGCAGGCAGCCTTTCCTGGGGTATCACTGCGGTACAAGAAGATTGACCTGCAGGAACCTATTAAAGCAGATGTAATCCCATACATCGAAGCAGAGAGATTACGACAGCCTTTACCATCCAGGCCAGCTCGTATTCTGCTCACTTATTTCAACCGTCTCGACAATGGATCGTTCTACAAAGCGTTATTGAACGCGGATACCAGGTCAATCATCTACGCAAAGGAGATGCCCAAAGAGGTGCAAGTACGTTCCCGTCTCTATGTCTTGTCCATGTGACTGTACTGACAGACGATAGGCACCCGTTGACATCGACGAACTAGCCGATATCGAAGACCTCTGCATGCGCCATCCCACAGTACAGGCTGAAATCGAGAGACTCAAGCTCCCGCCAGGGATAACCGTCTGCAATGACCCCTGGATGTACGGCACAGATGACGCCAATGAAACACGACGCCTCTTCCAGTGCTTCATGTATATGGTTGAAGTCGAACATCCTCAGAACAACCATTACTCCCTGCCATGCAAATTCTCGCCTGTGTTTGACGGCACCACGCACGAACTTGTCCGCATGGACTATCTTCCTGGTGGCGCGGATACTGCCGCTGTGGAAACGCAGCCTTGGAAGCCTGTCAAGGCTGTGCAATATGCGCATGAGCTTTTGGATGAACCGCTTAGACAGGATCTTAAGCCCTATATTGCGCAGCAGCCTGAGGGGCCGTCTTTTAATGTCGACGGCAACCTGGTATCTTGGCAGAAATGGCGGTTCAGAGTAGGGTTCAATAGCCGTGAGGGTCTTGTCATTCATAATGTGACATACGATGACCGCAATTTGTTATATCGTCTTTCTGTCTCGGAGATGACTGTTCCTTATGGAGGTGAGAGCCCTACTATCAGGAGAGTCAAAAGTGAATATTGCTAATGGGATAGACCCCCGCGCACCTTACCACCGAAAGCAAGCCTTTGACGTCGGCGACGTTGGCTTTGGCCTAAACGCCAACCAACTATCCCTAGGTTGCGACTGCCTCGGCCACATCAAATACTTCGACGGCTACAGAGCCGATTCCAAAGGCAACCCCGTGCAAATGCAAAACGTAATCTGCATGCACGAGCAAGACAACGGCCTCCAACACAAACACACCAACTACCGCACCGGCGCCGCAACCGTCGTGCGCAACCGCCAACTCGTCCTCCAAATCATCTGCACAGTCGCCAACTACGAATACATCTTCGCATACATCTTCGACCAAGCCGCAAACGTGGAACTCGAAGTCCGCGCCACAGGCATCCTCTCCACCGTCCCCTTCGACAACCATAACGGCGAGACAGTCCCCTGGGGCACGAACGTCGGACCAGGCGTCATGGCCCCCTTCCACCAGCACATGTTTTCTCTCAGAATCGACCCAGCCATCGACGGCTACAACAATACGATCTACTACGAAGATAGCATTCCCCTCCCAGAAGACGACGAGACAAACCCCTATGGCGTAGGCTACATAACCAACCAAACCACTCTCTGCACATCGGGCACCGCAGACACAGATATCTCGCGGCACCGCGTCTTCAAAATCCGGAACGACTCTATTAAAAACCCCATCACCTATAAACCAGTCGCGTATAAGCTCATGACGGCGCCGAGTCAGATGATGCTAGCTAGCAAGAAGTCGCTGGGGTGGCAGAGGGCTATGTTTGCTAGTAAGCCGATTTGGGTTACGAAGTATCGGGATGAGGAGTTGTTTGCGGCGGGGGAGTTCACGAATCAGTCGAGACGGTCGGAAGGTGTTGAGACGTGGGTTGCTAGGAATGATGAGACGGAGAATAAGGATGTGGTGCTGTGGCATAGTATGACCCCCTTTCTTTCCCTTTTAACCATGCTTGGACGAATGTTAATGGCAATGCAGCCTTCGGTTTAACACATAACCCCCGCGTTGAAGACTTCCCCGTCATGCCCATGGAGAAGATCAGTGTTATGCTACGGCCGGACGGGTTTTTTACTAAGAATCCCGCGTTGGATGTACCGCAGTCGTCGCAGGGGTTCAACAAGTCTACTCTTCATAAGGAGGCTAGCCCTGCGGCTGCAGGCGCATGCTGCGGCGGTGGTGGTAGGGCTAAGTTGTTCAAGAGGATTGAATAGTTAAATGACAGGCGCCTGAATAAAAATGACATGGGGATACGTTGGGTTAATGTATATAGCTTCTACTTTTATTGGAGAATTAACCATCACAAATTCATTACGACATATCTTCTGTCATCGAGATACATTGCCCTCCAGCTCATCGAGCCATGGAGGGTATATAGATCCGAACAATCATACATGTAGCTTCATCATTTTTTCCTCATTCCCATATTGATTTTCCTTATTTTTCACCCGATCCTTTGACAAATTATTCCATAAATCACAGTGCACATTCTGTACTTTAGTTGTTGTGTTGTCGACGTTACCGCGAGTTATCATAACAATTCACGGGACGGACAAGAACGCCTAGTCCATTTATTTGGCAACAGTAGGCACGTGAGCGCTAGGGACGCTGCCGTTGCCAACGGTGTCAATGGAGGTCTGGCGGGCTCCGGTGAGGCCGTACTGCGAGTTGATACCCTCAACACGGTGGGTGGAGTTGATGTTCTTGACGAGGGCGATCTGCCAGCAGGTAGCACCACCCTGGCGGGAAGTGATGGTGGAGGCAGCAAGGAAGTACTCCCAGATCTAAACAACGTTAGTCTCATGCTGATGAATCTTATGTGGGAAAAGGGATCTTACGCGGAACCATCTCTTGCCGTACTTGGCCTCGACATTCTCACGGTTGCCCATCCAGTTACGGTACCACCGCCAGAGAGTGGCAGAGTAGTGAACGCCAATGGTGTCAATACCCTTGATCTCAAAACCGGAACCCTCGAGTTTGTCGACAACGAAGCCAAGAGGAGTGCTAGCGTCGGCACCGGGGAAGATGTACTTGTTCATGAAAAGACCCCAGATGAGATCCTCGTATTGCCAAGACTTGCGGAGACCAGCGATCTGCAGGAAGAAGACACCGTCATCATCAAGCATGTCGTAGACCTGGGACAAGAAGCTGGAGAAGTGGCGCACACCGACGTGCTCAGCCATCTCAAGACAGGTGATCTTCTTGTAGCCTCCGGAGACACGGGGAGCATCACGGTAGTCCAAGCAGTGAATGCGGCTTTGAGAGTCTTCGATACCGGCGTTGCGGAGACCATTGTTACCCCAGGCAGTCTGGTTACGACCAAGAGTGATACCAGTAACGTGAGCGCCATAGTGGACCGAAGCGTACTTGGCCAGGGTACCCCAGCCACAGCCAAGGTCGAGAACGGTGTCGCCAGGCTTAAGACCAATCTTCTCGCAAACAACGGCAAGCTTGTTGTCTTGGAGCTCCTCAAGAGTCTCCTCTCTGTTGATGTCACCGATCAGACCGGAGGTGTAGATCATGCGAGGGCCCAAGAACCAAGCATAGAAGTCGTCGCCTCTGTCATAGTGGTCACGGACCTGTTCCTCATCTAAAAAGCGTCAGAATAATCCTATTATCATTCAACCGGTATTTCTTACCCTGAGAACGAGAGTGGATCAGCAACTCGGGAATGAAACCAAACAGGAAGTGCTTGTAGAGACCCATGGTGAAGCGGAAATTGGCCCAGTCGTGACGGAACTCGAGACACTCAAGAGCATCACCCTTGAAGTCAACCTCGCCATTGAAGTACTTCTCGTAGAAGACCTCCATGGGAATCTTGCTCTTGCCGCGGTAGGCAGCACGGTCATGCTCGCTGTGGAACTGAAGGTAGTGCTCGACGGGACGACCAGCGTACTTGGCCTTCTCGTTCTTACGGGGAGAGACGGAGGAAGCAATGGTCCAGTAGGCCATCAGAATGGGGATCGTGGTAAAAATAGCGAAGAAGATGGTGGTGTAGAAACCACCGCCAACCTGGCGAGCCAGGTACCACGGAATGAGCACGAGCAGAGAGAAGAGCAGGATGTTGGAGAAGCCATCGCTGCCGGGAGAGTCGGCGGGAACGGGAGCATTCTTGATAGCAGGGTACTGCAATGAGAAAAATAGCAGTTAGTTTCCGCGTACCTTAACGCATGAGTGTCAACTCCGTAGCCGTAGCTAAAACCGGAATCCAAGCCAGCCCGGACCAGGCCAATTGGCGTCCACACAGAGTATTCACCAGCAAACAAACTAGAGAAAGCTTACCGTTGTCGTCCGCACACCACATGGGTCCGCGGGAGTGATGCAAGAAGCCGGAGGAGTCTCGATGAACTCGAACTCCTCAGGAGACTCGGGGTGAATCTTCTCCGTCGTCATGGCTGAGGTGACGATGAGAGGAGAAGGGGGGGGAGAGAAGAAGTGCCAGAAAGCAATTGCAAAGGCTGACACGGTGTTGTTTTTAAAGAGAGAGAAATATGAGACGAAGGAGAGGGACACGGAACAGGAACCAGTTCCAGGGGCGGTGAGCCGCGGCGATCCCGTGCCAGCTCCGACGTCCAGTATATCGCTGCCAACTTTCGATTAACCAGCGCAACATATAATTCTCATTTCAAAGAAAGTCTTCAGGATGACAGCTAAGATTGCTTGCATTGCCGTTATCGGGAAAGCTGTATGATATCATCATCCCTGCAACAGAAAAGATCACTGCTAACAGTTGCCAAAGGATAACCCTCTCCACATCTCACTATTTCCTCCTTATACAGACTCAACTATTGAATTCAACTTCTTATTGAACTCATGTCTTGATATCTTTGACATTCATCAAAAGCAGACTGCTATCAGTCAAGACCTGGGCCTATTACATGCAGTCGATGAAAGATTAGCAGCCTACGGTTGGTTAACAACCACTGGCGTCAAATTCCTGGTAATGGTGGATTTAATGGGGCAACAAGTACCCATCGGCGCAGAAAAGTCCAAAGGTGCTGGCGCTGCCATGAGTGGATTGAGAGATGGCAACCTCAAACCGGTATGTCCACACTTGTGACTCCGCGTTGGCAGACGGAGTCGCGATAGTCCACTATCTTCTAGAAGCTGTGAGTGTCGTTATTAACAGACTTATACAGGCCTTTCACGCTCTGCAAACTGCCTACATCCAGCTCTTGCAGAACCCCTTCTACTCCCCTGATGACCATCTTCCTCTAGCCAAGAATGCGGCTGTACCAACCTCGACATCTCAGGAGATCACAAATAAAAAGTTTATCAGCGAAGTTAAGAGGATTGGTGAATCCTGGGCTCCGGGTATGGCTGCAGTCTGAGAGCTGGTGTTTGCGTTGAATGATTGAATTCCAGTGTTTTCGGCGTTCGGGGATGGACAAAGTTTATGGAGTATTGGTTGTATGAATATGAATGATCAAACTACGGTTTACGTATGGACGAGTTCCAGTTGATGGCCACCAAAGTACTTTCTTTAGATTACCTATATCGTGTAATTCAAGTCTTTGCTGTCCTCTACATAGTACGGAGTACAAATGCGATTGTCCGGACCGTCCGTGCCGCGGTTCCTCGGAATGGAGTCCCACGGTTGCTATGGAGTTCCTGAAACAGAACAACAGCTTGCGAGTCCTAATAATAACACTCTACAGTTGATAGTCCGGAATAATTTCTCCACAACAAATTGTCCGTGAAATATAATTGACTGCTCACTCATACCTAATACGTAGTAGTTATCGTTCGCCATGCTGATACCAAAATAGTGATACACAAATTTCCCTTGATGAAGATCATAAACCAATAATCATTTGTCAAAAACAGATAAACGCCATAAGTCCTGTCCTGTCGACACGCATAATTACCACCCAAACCATAAACTGGAAAAACCAGAAGAACAATGTAAAAAAAGGATACCGATCCAAATTCGCCTAGAATGCCATAAAAAGTTTTGTCGCTCGCTCATAGAGCTAACTGGAAGTTGAGCGCCTCGTCATCCTCGCCGAAGGTAGGAAGGGGTTCCGGGATGGTTTCCGCCTGACTCTGTTCATCGTCGAAGCAACCGACAGCCTTGCAGCGAAGCCACATCTCCGATCCGAAAGGCGGCGTTCCGTAGAGCTGCATATACGTATCGGGGGACAAGATGTTCTTGGGTGCTGGCTGTTTCGCAGTAGTCGACGGCTTACCATGCAGTCTGGTGGAGACTTCTCTGCCTTTGGAGTAGCCAACGGTGGTCTTGGAGTTTGCGACAGCAGCACTATGGCGCATAGAAGACGGATTTGCAGGAGCCCTGGGTTTTCTCGTATGAATGGACGAACTGATTCGGGGTCGGGACGCAGCTCTGGTTCGTGGGCCCGAAGGTTCGGGGGCTGACAACGCTGCCGCTGCATCCCGGGCTCGTAGAGTCGAAACGTTGCTGTATTTGACTTTTGGGGTAGGGACCTTCACTCGACGGGGTTCAATGCGGCGTTTCGATGCCTCCTTCATGGGCTCCATTTCGTTGGCTTCCTCAAACCCAATACTGTCGATTTGCTTGAGAATCATTTCGTCCATCATCTTGTCCTGGGCGATCGAAGCTTCCTTGTACTTTCGTTCCCGCTTGGTAAGTCCGTCGCTTCCAACTTCGTTGTTTCCGTAGGTGCTCTCCAATCCACGCGCGAGGTTCTCCGGTCTGAACTGAGGGAAAGTGGTGTCGTATTTAATGTCGTCCGGGAGGTCCGGGAGCTCTGTACGCAGCCGAGAGTCAGCGGCTAACCGGATAATGATTTATAATTGTAATCTCTCACCTTTAGGCTTGGGTGGCATGTATTCGATATCCGGCACATCATCCTGGATCGACTTTGCCGCTGTCTCAGGCTCACTTTGCTGTACGAAGGGAGCAATCTTCTTCACTTTCTGCGTCGACGTTCTCCTGTTGGTCCTCTCGGGCTTGCTCGTGCCAATAGGAGCTGGGGTCTTTGCCTTGGCATTAGTCGTTTTCATACCCAGCGGCGCTCGTTGACGGTTCTCTGCTATATCCTCAGTCAATACCATGACTCCCCATTGCCTTCAGAAGTGCCCTTACGCAGAGGAGTAACAAACGCATCCTTGGCCGGCTTCAAGTTTTCATTCCCTTTTCCAGTCGCCTTCACAGTCTTCTTTCCAAAAGCCAACGGCCCATTCTCGTCGTTCAGCGGGACCTTGAACGGGGTCTTGGGAGCTCGTGCGCCGGGAGTCTTTGTGCCTTGATTCAACGGTTTTCCAGCTGCCACGGTCTGGTGGGCATGCACCAAATTCTCCTGGTCTCGCACAGCCAGCATGGTGGGTTATCGAACAAACGGGAATGGGCGATCGTGACTTAGCGTATCGGTGGGCTCGCTTTGAGGGGAGGGAATCGTAAATAATGGATCGAATGTCTCTGGGCGTGGACTCGAAGGCGTCGGAGTGGGAACGGGTCGAAATATTAATTGCAATAGTTAGTGGCGTTTTTCGGTGGCCAGTGTGCTGGAGCTGGAGTGCATTGTCTGAAGTACAGTCAAAGAAGGTCCTGGACTTTTGGGAGGGTGTTTTCTTTCCCAGCGGCGTCGTTGCCCGTGGAGACAAAAACAAGGCGATCCTTTGGTAAGAGCCGCCAGGAGGAGCCATGGGACTGACGGGGGCGTATGGTAACGGTATTACCACCCCCTCCCCTTAGAAAATAGGAGAAGCCAGACGCTCTCGACCATTCAGCCACTGCGGTCAACCACACCGCCTTGCAAAGGGAGCGGACACTAGTACGGTATTTAATACACCCTCCCATCCCTTCGTCCAATCCCTCCACGTTGACAGCTTTCCCTTTCTTATTCTACTCCGTCCCGTACTTGTACACTGGTTTGTCGCTGAGCGAAGGCCGGAAATTATCCATCACTACCATCTACACTTTTCCTCGTTGATCGCCTCTTTACACCACATACATATTCCTCGCTTCTTGCAGATAAACCTTCTTTTACCACCGCAAAAATGGATAAGATCAAGGAGGTGAGTCGCTGCATTCCCCCCTGCTCGGCGGGGTAGCTGTGAGCAGCCCCGATGCACATGCACAACTTCCCTCTTGCACCATTTCCCGACATTTCATCGTGGGAAGAGCAGATTTGCTCAGGGAAGTTAACATGGAGCCGAAATTCACTCCTGGATAATTATAAACGATGAAAACGGGATGCTGACGGATGGCCGTGTCTAGAGAATGAACACACTCCGTCTGGAGGCCGAAGACGCCCAGGAGAAGGCCGAGGAGCTCAAGGCCAAGGTTAGAACTATGGAGCAGGAGAACTTGGCCAAGGAGCAGGAAATCACATCCCTCAACCACCGGAACCAACTCCTGGAAGGTGAGGTTGAGAAGATGGAGACTACGCTCAAGGAGGCCAAGGATGCCGCCAACCAGAGCGCTCAGCATGACACTCAGAACGAGGCTTTGCAGAGACGCCTGCAGATCTTGGAAGAGGAGGCTGAGGAGGCTGACCGGAATTTGCGGGAGACAAATGAAAAGTATGCTTTATCTCTGATACCGATTACCCCCCCTCACCCTATCCATGCTTTCCCCTTGCATCCCTTCCGCGTGTCGACGCATTTACTAACCCTGTTCTCTCACCACAGGCTCCGCCAAACCGACGTCAAGGCTGGTCACTACGAACGCAAGGTGCAGGCGCTCGAGGCTTCTCGTGACCAGTGGGAGAGCAAGTACGAGGAGATGGCGAAGAAGCATGCCGAATTGCAGAAGGACCTGCACGACCTCGAGGTCTCCATCAGCAACGTCTAAGAACGGATCTGGGTACGGGCGTAAGAGTGTCGGGAGATGCGGGATTCAGCCTCTTTTTTCATCAAATATACTTTTATTCTCGTGTGTGCATTTTACAGCTTGTTCATTAACCTCGTGTGTGTTGGCAGAGGATAATCAACTCTCGCCGTTAAAGCTGGGGCATATTCTTCTTATGCAACTCGCCCCATCTTCCCGCGGATTATTCCCCTCCTTGTCTTGTGAACTTGACACTTCTCTGTGTTTTCTTTTATAGGGTACATATAGTATATCTAATTAAGCTTCTTTGTGACGCTGAATATTGAATCAGTATAAGCACAACTTCTTTTATGGCATGGTATCGACAGGTTCTAGTGGTATCATTATTCTTCGCCGCGTCGCCCTCTTGCCTTTCTGGCCTTGGAATACCGTTGCTTCGCCTGGTTGAGCTTTCGTTCCTCCTTGCTTTCGTAACGGAACTTCTTTTTCTTCTTCTTGGGGTTGTCCGTCTGCGGTCTTTTCTTTAGAGCTTTCGAATTGGCGTCCTCGGACGTCTGCTGTGCCTTTTTATCCTCGTCTTGGTCCGATTCGTCATCTGACTGTTCTTGCTTCCCGTAATTGAGCAGGCCTTCTCTCGACGGATCCATCTCCTCTACCGTCACAGTAGTGTATTTATCCTCGTCGATGTATTCGGCCTCGTAGTCCACAGCAGGTGGCTCCGCGAATCCCTCCCATTCCTCATCCTCGCCCTCATTGCCCTCGTTCCCGGAATCGTTCGACTCATTCTCGTTTTCTTCAATGAGCATCTTGAGTTGTCGTTGATGCTCTTCGAATGCCCGTTCGTATTCCGCTTTCCGTTCGTCCCGGACCTGTACACATTGCATTGCGGTTAGTTTTTTTGTTCTTTACTATTCCTCAACCAGAGAGCTTCGTACCCTTTTCCGGTAATCTATCCGTTCTTCCCGTGCCCGCTTCTCTGCGACGTCCTGTGCATGTTTCACGCGCTGCAGCCTTCGCTTGCGAAAGCCTGTGAGGAATTGTTGTCGGGCGTCTGTGTCGAAGTTGATTTCTTCAGGTTGGTTCGCGACCTTGCGCTTTTTGTTTGGTCCCATATTGCTTTATGTTTTGAATTGAATGTAGAAAAGGACGTGAAATAAATCTGATAGATCTCCGTAAAAAAAGCAGAAATTGCCTAACGGGTCGGCGATTGGCTCGACCGCCTCCAAGCGGTGAATATCCACCTGGCGCCAACATCATCGGAGCTGGTCCCGGAACCATCAATCGACGGACAGTATCTAAAGGACTCCTATATCGACATTCTCTTGACAATATGCATTTCAGTGGATTGGGCCTCCTCGCGCTGGGAGCAGCAACGGCCAGCGCGTTCCGCGATACGTCGCCCTTCTTCCTGGCATCGACCTCAGAGTACGTCGCGAAGCGAATCTCCTGCGGGTTAGAACTTAGCTTTGAGTGACTGACGGTAATAACACTAATTAGGATCCTCTTACCATCGTCGAATCTCGCACTGTCTACGTCGTTGCTGAATGATCTCGGATCGCATTTGAACTCCTGCCCATCGGACTACTATGTCGTCGCTTACCAGCCGGGTGTGCATAGCACCGATTTCGCAACTCGCAAGTCGGCCCCTCGTCTCGGGGCGAAGATGACCGGCACGGATGAGGCGATTCGGTCGACTTCGTCGATTCATGAGGTTTCCGGCGTGATGGATGCGAAGGAGGTTCAGAATATGATTGGAAATGCTTGTGGGGCGGAGACTACCGTTATTGATGCTTCGAGTGAGTGGATGTTAGTCGGCAGATGACGGTGGATTGGTATTGACAGTGGTGTAGCTGGTTCTCACCCGTCGTCTTTTGGCGACGCTCCGCGCGTTATCGCTGTTGACTTCCCTATGCTTTCTTTGGGCCCTGACCGGGCACAGCAGCTTTCTGATAACGGTTCGTGCGGTTACAATGGCGATGTATTCTGTGTTGGTGCTGACGAGTACTAGATGGCTTCCTTTCCGACATTATCGACCGTATTCCCTCGTCGAAGAAGTACACGCTTCTCTACGTGACATCGCCGCGAGAATTCGAGGACACTGTCTACAGACCCGATGATGAATCCTACCAGGAGCCTCTCCGCACAGAATTGAAGCGTGACTATTCGGACTACACCAGGCAGGATTCGTCGTCTAAAAAGACTCTCTTTCGAGAGTATCAATATCTCACTCCAGGTATGTTCCTACAGTCATTTCTGAGTGTACCATATACTGACCGTTAATAGGCCTGTTCATGGGCTTGTTTGCTGTTTTCGTCTGCATTATGATCCTGTACGTCGGAATCCAAGCCCTCTTGAGCTTGGAAGTGCCCTATGCGGCGTTCGAGAAGGATACTTTCTCCGCTGTGCAGAAGAAACAGCAGTGATCTGGTCTTAGGTGTTTGATTTTTTGCGTATGCATGCGTTTTTGCCCAATTCATTTATCTGATTGCTTGTTATGTACTGTATGATATATTATAACCTGATGCATGACCATAACATCTTCAATTGTAGCACTATAGATATCACGTGTAGTAGCCTCAGGCAGCGATCTGTCACGGGGCAACCAACCGGTCAAACAATCACCTTGTCGCATCGTCGCATTTGCAACACCACGCTTCTTATCTGGCTTATACTGCTGATATGGAGTAATCCTCTTGTTCTCGATTGGATTTGAGGCATAACTACCCCACGTTCTGCCATAATTGGCGTGCCATCGTCCTGCACCTTAGTGCTTATTTATTGACGATCTGTTTGGGCCCAATCGTGCATGAATTGTCAAGCACCATCCTCCATATCGGGTTTCGACGCATGTCCATGCAAGACCTAAGGATTCCAGAGTCGCACTATCTGATTTCGAATCTGGCCGTTATCTCTAGAGTTGGATAAGGTTATCGCAAATGCCCTTCTGTTTGCTCCACCATTGAGAGACATACATACCGGCATACCATACCACATCCACAGCACTACGGCATGAGATTATCACCGGCGGGGCCCAGGGCATCCCGCGCACTATTACTCTTCCTAGCCATTGCCTTGCTAGCCCGGCTATCAACAGCCCAAGACACAACAGACGCCAACGATGCCGCAACCACCGATGATGCTACCGCAACAGCGACATCCGAAACAACAGGTACAGGAACAAGTACCACCGACTCCTCGACCTCGTCTTCGACCGAATCCTCAACGACATCATCATCATCGTCAACGAGCAGCAGTTACCCCACCGTAACCGTCCCACCGACAGCTGGTGCGCCTTATATGCAGACATCTAGCACCCCGGAGGGGGCTGTCTTCATTGCTGTCGGTGCGGTACTGGGGTTTCTAGGACTCGCGGTCCTGGCATGGCGCGGGTTGGTTGCGTGGTCTGTGAATCGGTCTGTTCGGCAGCAGGCTGCTGCGATGCAGTCGTCTGAGAAGAGGGGGTTGCTGAGAAGTAGGAGGAGGAGGTCATCCGTACGGTCGAAGTCGAGGTCCAGATCTCGATCGGGGTCGGTGCCTAGGGGACATTTACCGAGTGGTAATTTAGATAATGGGCCGACTGGAAACGCAGCCGGAGGATACGATCGTCACCACCACCGCCGTCGAAGCGGAAGCGGAAGTCGCGGACCCCCAAGGATGAGAGAAGTCCCGGGCTCAAGCAACGCGCTATTCTTCTCCCCAACCGCCGGCGCAAGCATGCACAGCGGAAAACACCCAAGCCAACACCATTCAGGCTATGGCTACGGTCACGGCTACGGCACCGCAAGCACCAGCACACCCCGTCCAAGCACCGGCCCAGTCCCAACAAGTGCAAGTTTAAGCGCAAGTGAACGATACCAACCACCTTACAAAGGAAAACGTGCATACCCTCCTCCACCGCGCGCGCGGAATATCCCAATAGTCAGTCCGCCCGTTTCACCGAATTCACGGCCTACGGGTGCTGGTGGCTACATGGGTCCGAGTCGCTCGAGGCCGTTGTCTGGCGATAGTATGTCGAGTGGTAGTTTGAATCCGAATCAGGCGTCGCCGCCGCAGGGGAGGGCGCCGAGTGAGTATTTAGAGGATTTGTTTGATGGTCATGCGAGGCCGGGACCGGATTGGGATCGGAGGTGATGTTGGTATTTATGGGGTTTGTTATGATGATATATGAAAGTCATGTCTATTTTAATGCAGTGTTGGAATATTATGAGGATGATAACTATGAGTATGTGCTGGTCCATGATCTTGAATGCTATGCTTTCAATAAAATTTGACTAGCAACTATTCTGACAGACTCTGTCAATACCTCATCAGAGCACGATTACCCTCAGTAAAAAAAAAAAAAAAAAAAAAAAAAAAAAAAAAAAAA